CTGTTTCTTAAAATGATAACTGCAGCTAATACTTACTCATTTACCATATGCCAATCATTGTGCCAAGTTTTACATACTTTACCTCATTTATATTCACAACATCCTTTAAGAGACACTATTATCTGGTAAGTAACTTACCCTCTGTTACCCAGCTAATAAGTGGCAGAACCAGAATTAAAAATCAGATGTTAGGGACACATGGGTGGCTCAGTCGTTAAGGGTCTGCCTTCAGCTCAGGTCTTGATCCGAGGGTCCTGGGATGGAGCCCTGCATAGGGCTCCCTGCCTGGCGGGAAGCCTGCTTCTCCCTTTCCCACTCTCCCTGCTTGTGTTCCCTCTCTCACTGTCTCTCTCTCTCTGTCAAAAAATAAATAAAATCTTTAAATAAATAAATAAATAAATAAAAATCAGATGTTAGACTCCTTCTGAGTCTTGGCTTTTAACTTTTAACTCATAATACTACTTTTCAAGGGTTATAAGTATGATGTTTCCAATAGCTGTTCCAGAATGAAAACTGAATGGTACTGAAAATGTGATAAAAGTTCTTGTTTTGTTTCATTAGTACAAGACTAGATATCGAGCCTAAGCCAAAAAACACTTTTGCCATTATCAAGTGTAATAAGCAAATGAGTACACTTTATCTTATTACCTTTGGGAACTTGTATCTTTTTCATGGCTGTCATTGGTAGAAGAAATTTCATCCAGTTGCTCTGGAAGAGGATGGTGATTAATAGCATGTTTTGTTATTCCTTTCCTGTGAAAGATTTTTTAAAAAGTTATATTTCCTGTAAAGAAAAAATACATACTTTTCAATAACTTGACTACAGGTTAGTTACCTCCTTCTTGCTGCTCTGGGACTGCACCGTCCTATATGGTAGCCACTAGCAGCTAAAATGTGGTTAGTCGGTGTGATGAGCACCAGGTGTTATATGGAAGTGTTGAAACACTCTAATGTACACCTCAAACTAATATTACACTGTATTTTAACTGGAATTTAAATGAAAACTTTAAAAAATATAGTTAGTCGGAAATGAGATGTTTTAAGTATAAAACATGGGATTTTGAAGTCTCAGTACAACAATATATAATAGATCAATAATTTTATCTTGATTATATATTAAAATGATAATATTTTGGATATGCTGGGTTAAAATATATTCTTATAGTTTCACTGCAAATTTAAATTACAGTAAGTTATAACCACACACCTTTTAGAACAGCTAACACAAAATATGGTAATATAAGCGACGATGTGTAGAAACCAGATGTCTCATACACTGCTGATGGAAATGTAAAAAGGCACAGCCACTCTGTATTAGTCTGTTTCTTTTTTTTTAAGATTTTTAAAAAAAAATGATGAGAGAGAAAGAGAGAGAGCACAGGGAGGAACAGAGGGAGAGGGACAAGCAGGCTCTGCACTGAGCACAGAGCCCATCGTGGAGTTGGATGCAGGGCTTGATCCCAGGCCCCTGAAATCATGACCTGAGCTGAAACTTAACTGAGAACCAAGGAGCCCCAGTCTCATAGTTTCTAATAAAACATGTACCAATGTCAGTTTTCTGGCTTTGACACTACACTAGTTACATAAGTTGTCATCATTGGGGGAAGGGGGGGAGGTGGGGGAAGGGTTCGTGGGATTCTACGTATGATTTTTGTAACAGGGAGTCTATAATTATTTCAAACTAAAAAAAATTAATTTCATCTGTTTCTACTATTTTTTAACGTGACTATCTGAAAATTTAAAATTCCATATGTGGCTTTATTGTATTTCTATTGGACAGAGCTGCTCTGAAGCGTTCAACATGTACATTAGAGTAAACTAAGGGATCAATTATCATATGTTCCAGTCTTAACCATCTACAGTAGACTTTCCTCCCCTACAAAATTCTGCAATAAAATAAGTTTAGGAAACATGATAAGCTAAACAAAGTACATAGGTTTCTTTATAAAAGGTCTCTTTAGGGTCTTTAATTTGCAAATGTATATTATAAATCTCTAATACTCTTACTTCATAGGCAAGGAAAGTGAAGCAGAGAGATATTAAGTAACCTGCTTAAGGTCATATGTCTACGAAGTGATGGTGCCAGGATTCAAATCCAAGTACTCTGGCTCTGAGGCTTCTCAGAGCAAATGAATAATTTGAGATTTTAGTGAATGGTACCATTTTTGTATTTAAAGATAAAGCTAAGGGCCCAGTCAGCAGAGCTTGTACTTCAAATTATTTCTCAAATGTGGGGATGGATTTGTGTAGAGCTATTTGTACTTCTCTCATTCAACGACCCTATAACCAAAAGCTTGTCTTTGAGACAGTGGTAGTGAACAGAAATGTGGATTCCAGCTACAAAACAGAAACTTAAGACATTTTTTAGTCAAAGAAATCTGACTATGAAATGATGATTAGATAATACCAAAGAAATATTAAATTTGATCACAGCATTGTTTTTACATAAGAAAATACCTAGGGGTGCCTGGGTAGCTCAATTGGTTGGGCATCCGTCTGTCTGCCTTCGGTTCAGGTTGTGATCCTGGGGTCCTGGGGTCCTGGGATCTAGCCCTGCATCAAGCGCCACATCAGGCTCCCTGTTCGGCAGAGAGTCTGCTTCTTCCTCTCCTTCTGCCCCTCCCCCTGCTCATGCTCTTTCTTTCTCTCAAACAAATAAATAAAACCTAAAAAAAAGAAAATACCTATAATTTTCAGAGATGCATACTGAGGTATACAGGGGTGAAATGATAAGTGGGGTTTTGCTTTCTTATTTACAGATGATGGACAGAGAGGCTGAAAAAAAGATAAAGAAGATAGATGAAGCAAATATATCAAAATTTTGATTAATTGTTGAATGTGGGTGATAGGTGGTTCATTTTATTATTCACTATACATGTATGTTTGAAATTTATCACTTGTTAGTGTTAAGCTGTATGTTGAAAATCATTTTTTTTTCCGAACTCTTTTCAATATCTATAATTTGGAACTATTAGGGAGAAAACTAAAGTTATTTCTTCAAAGCAAATTATCATTCTAACACCTAAAGTAAAAATTGTTTTTATTTTACTGTCATTTAGATACATATAATCCTCATTATCTTCATTATTCATATCATCCTGACTCCTCTAGAGAATCATCTTTGAAGAGAGTTGCTTTTAGAGAGTATCAATCAAATCAACAATAGAGAACAAGTAACGTACTACACTGGAGTAATTCTCACCCACTAAATGCCTACCAACAATTTTTTTCCACAAATGAGTTTGTTTGTTTTTTTACTCTCAGAATGGTCAGAATTAATTATAAAAGCAGACTTTTAGCTAAGTCCTGTTCCCTTTATTGGAAAATTACTTTCTTCTTTCTACTTCCTAAAAAGCTTATATCTGAATTGCTTCTGTGTAGATATCCTATTACTTAGTAGGTAATAAGCTTCTGAAAGACAAGGAGAGATCACAAATTTTCTTTGTATGGCTACTGTACCAAATAAAGCTGGGAAAGGACAGGAAATTACCAATTACTGAGCATCTACTGTGTGTCAAGCCCTGTGCCATAACTTTAGATATGCTTTTAGAGAAAGTCTTAGTTCAATATTACAGAAATGAATGCTCAAATATTTAGTAATCCACTGAAAAGTCACATGACCAGAAAAGAGCCTAGCCAGACACCCAGATTGACTGAAGACTCCATGCATGTTATTACCATGTATAGTTAGTATTTAATTTTTAAATGTTAAAATTTATTAAAATTTAAATGTTTAAGTGTTAATTTTAAATGTTAAAATTACACAGCTCTACAGAGAAAAAAAGTTGGAATTTGAGGATAAAAAGCTCAAGCTCAAAACCTACTGGTTATATAATCTTAGGATGTATAACCTTTCTAATATTTCATGTTCTGAAAAACTGAAACATCTTACAGAGTTGTTGCAAGGATCAAGATGTGAAAGTCTTTTTGAAAGTATAAAGCATTAACAAATGTACATTATCATTACTTGCTAAATTACAACACTTCACCAGGGGTGGGAGGTGGGTTTTTAAGCTTAAATATTTGCTCTCTAGAGCAAAACCTATCCTTAAGGATTCTGATGTTTAGCTGCAGAGATGGGGAAGCAGTATGTGTAATGATTATGACCAACGCTTCAGGGTCAGACTGACACCAGGTTTGTGTGCTCCACCACTTTCTGCCTGTATAATCTTTGACATACTACAGTCTTAAATCTGGGACCTTTGTTTGTAGAATGTGCAAAATAATATTCCCTATTCTGTATCCTGGTAGGATTAAGTGAGCTGATGCATGTAATCAGCTTTGCACGGTGCCTGGCACTAGACATATTCAACTTTTCTGTAGCACTCAGTCAGCTATTGGTAACTTCTCGATTCGTCAATGGCCACTGACAGGCATGAAGCACTGAGGAAACTACAAATGCCATAGGAGACCCAGTCCCTGAGTTCAGGAAGTGCAGCCCAAGAAGGCCAAGTCCTAGGAAAGCACAAGTGACATGCCCTTAGCTGGAGATGGAGGCAGACCGGGCAGCGTCTGACAAGTCTGGGAGGAGAGAATTCCGAAGAAAATTCTCCTTCCCTCGCCCTGGAAAGGGAAAGGTGAGAAGCACTGGTTGGGAAGGGTCCCAGCCAGAGCGCCCGCGGCCCGCCTCAGCCTCCCCCGGCTCGGGCTAGGATGGCTGAGCAGTACACTCACAGCTCCAAGCTTTGCGGCACCGCCTTCCGAGTGTATCTGGAGAGCATCCTCCTCTTCCTCCTCTGTCGTGGAGGGGGCGGGAACGCCAGGGTGGGGGCCTCCGGGCCTGGCCCTCCCGCCGGCTCCAGCCCGGCCCCCTCCCGCCACCTTCCGGCCCCGTCACGCCCCGTCGCCCAGACTCCGGACCGCCACCACTCCCTGGGTCCCCACCCCTCCAGTCCGCCGTGCTTGCTTCCCCGCGGGGGCGGAAGTGACGAACGCACTGGGGCATCGCGTAATGCTGCCGCGGACGCGCAGCAGTGACGCCACCGGGGGTTCCGGGGCGAGCGGGTCTTTCAGACCTTCCAGTGGCCTCAGGTGCCCGGGCGGCGTCTGGACTGACCTTGGGCTACTGGCAGCTCCCGACCGGCTCACGCGGTGGGAGGGGCGGTCGAGGAAAGGGGCCGCAGCGGAGACGCGTGGGGGAGGCCGGAGAATCGTAAGCGGAATTGGCTTCCTTTTGTCGAATGGAGGGCGGAAGCTTAGTTTGAGTAAAGAGCACTAGAGTCCAGCTCGGCTCTCTGCTGCGGGGTCGCTCCTCTTTCTGTGTGCCAGTTTTCTCACTTGTACAGCAAGGAGTTATCCTGAGTGATTTCAAAGCCCCTTCCAGTTCTGACTAAATTCTTCATAAAAATGTGTGCTTGGCATTATGAGGTGGGTGGATGGAATTATCTGTCCCTCTGGGTTAAGAAGCCAAACGATTTGGACAGACTGGATAGAAGATGCAGGTTCCTCTCGACCTCGTTTTATTAGCCCATGAGAAACCGAATAAGAATAAAAATCGAATTGTGCCTTACAGTGGACCATCCAGTGCAGTGCCTCCCTGTTCCAAGCCTCATCTGGCAGTAATAGTAAGCTAGTACTTTTGTTTGTAAGGGAAACCCTTAGAAAATAGAGCTATTTACTTCCTCTTACATACCGGAGCTACCCCGCGCCAGACCTGAGAAAGGGGCAGTTTTAGGACAGCTCTACGATCAAGAACCATGGGCAAATTATTTTGGTCTGAGATGATAGGCCATGTTTTGTGGTTTTGAATTCCCCTCTGCCGTACAATATTCATAAAAGATTTAAATTCTGCAGAGTGAGGGAGATTGCCCTAAAGAGCTTTTAAATAATAATTTAAACTGGGGGAGAAATGTAGAAGTGAAAGAGTAACATTCTCATTCTACATTTAAGGAAAAAGCCCCAAAAAGAGAAATTGAGGTGCTCTAAGTGACACAACTAATTAGTGGCAGAACATAAGATGTTATTGCAGTGCTTCTCAAAGTGTGTTACACACACTAGTGCTAGTATGAGGGCAAGCTTTTTTCTAATTTATTTTTTTCAAACGTTTTTTATTTTATTCTTGCATACTATTAGTTAATTTGGGAATGTGATACTCGATTTCCATTTACTGTATTATATCAAAAGTTCCTTTAATATAATTTCAAGTATAAAAAACAATTTTAAGTATAAAAGCATCATTAAAAGAATATTAAATAGGTGTTACTAATACTTGATCAAGGCAAAAAATGATAACGTGGATAACAGAATTTTGAAAAACAATGGAATCATGTTGAAGAGTTCAGAGAATTGGATTTTCTACATTATGTGGTTTATATTATTGAAACTTTAAATGTAGTTTTCAAAGAAGAATGGAGGAAAATATGAAGCTTGCTACAGTGGAAGACACTGTGGAGTATCACCTATTCCTGATACCCGATGAACCAAGGGACCCAGAAAAACACAAAGAGATTCTTCAAAAGTATATTGAGAGGATAATGACTCAGTTTGCACCTATGCTGGTCCCCTATATCTGGCAGAATCAGCCTTTCAATCTTAAATATAAACCTGGGAAAGGTAAGGCTCTTTTACTTACTTTGATGTGGTATGACTTCTAATTCTGACAAGAGTGATCTATAATAGTCCATAGTTGATTCAGTGTTGTGAGGAGATTTATAACCTGAACTTTTTTGATGAGTGATGCTTGCCTATATTTGATTAAGTCCTTAAATTTATCAAAAAAAATTTTTTAATTCATTTGATGAAAGCTTTCTAATAGTAATTACCTTGAGAACTAACATATACTCAACATTATTAAACCATGGCTGTTCTTTGGAACTTTACTTTCCTGTGCTATAATGTATCTAAGTACTTATACTAAACAGGTTCAGGCATCTGGCTTCCTTAACTGTAGCTCCCTTTAGAGGTTACTCTGTATTCCTCATTCCTGATCATGTGTTTAGTAGGCTGCCTTGTTTGACATAGTTTTGAAACTACGTGGCTCTGCCTGGCTTATAAAGAGAAATAATTGGGCCTATGGCCATTATTTGCTACTCAGAAGCATTTTGAGGTTGCTTCACAGCTACTCTGTGTTGTTGGTGCTTGAGATCTGATTTTATCATTTCATATAGCTTTAGTAAAATGAGGCGCGAATAGGTGACCACAGCTCTTATTCATGCAGGGTCTTATTTCAGATCAGGAGTCTGGCATCTTTTGATACTGTCAATCTAGGTCTCAATGTAGTGTTTATCTGTTATTTTTTGGCTAGCAGTTGCCAAATGTGTTCCCTGGTGTTAATTCTATTGAACCACTATTCACCGAAACACGTGATATTTATTGGCAGGAACACCGTCACATTAGCACAGCACATCCAAAACCAACTCCTTATCTTTTTCCTAGAAAATCATTTTTACCCAATGTTTTCTTGTCTTGCTTAATGACATTATTATCCACCCAGTTATTCAGCTTGTCAATAATTCAAAATTATACTCAGCTCCTCACTTAACCATGTTCAGTCAGGCAGTAAATCCTAGTGTGGTTACTCCTAAAATACGACCCCTTCTCTACATTTGTTGGCTACAGTCTAGACGCTCTTTATCTCTTCATCTGGAAGACCACAGCAGCCACCTAACTGACCTCTCTGGTTACAGTATCTCCAGTTCCTCACACTGTTGCCAGTTACCTTTGTAAAACACAAATTTGATCGTGTCAGTCTTCTGCCTAACATCCTTCACGTTATCCATTGCTTCTGGATAAAGTTCAAATTGAAGTTTAATATATAAGGTAGATAAAAATAGACGCTCTAATTGGAGCTTCTCTAGTTGAAGAAATTAGAGAGATCTGGGGTGGGGAGAAGAGTTGGTTGGGCTGTTCTTCCTACCTTTTTTTTTTTTTTTTTTTTTTTGCCATGGCAGCTCTTGAGACACTTCACAATGTGCTTGTTTGACCTTTAGTCTGTTAATGTGGTAGGTTACATTGACTGATTTTCATATGCATTACATTGCATTCCAGGAATAAATTCCACTTGGTCATGGTGTAAAATCTTTCAGTGTGTTGAATTCAGTTTGTTAGTATTTTGTTGAGGATTTCTGCATCAGTATTCCAGGGATATTAGTCATAGTTTTCCTGTATTGTCTTTGTCTGGCTTTAGTATAAATGTAATGCTGGCCTCATAAAATGGGTTTGGGAGTGTTCCCTCCTCTTCAGTTGTTTTTAAGAGTTTGAAGACGATTGATGTTAATTCTTCTTTAAATGTTGGTAAATTCTCTAGTGAGCTTTTCTTTGTTGGGAAGTTTTTGATTACTGATTCAATGTCCTTTACTAGTAACCAGTCTGTTCAGATTCTCTATTTCTTCATGATACAGTCTTGATAGGTTGTGTGTTTCTAAGACTGTACTCATTTCTTCTAAGTTATCCAGTTGGTTGGTGTACAATTGTTCATAATGTTCTCTTATAGTCCTTTTTATTTCTGTAGTATAGGTTGTAATATTGCCTTTCATTTCTGATTTTAGTTACTTGCGTCTCCTTTTTTTTCTTACTAATCTTAAGATTTTTGTCAATTTTGTAATGTTTCAACAAACCAAATCACTTTATTTTTTTCTATTTTTCTATTCTCTGTTTCATTAATGTCTGTTCTAATCATTATTTCCTTCCTTCTGCTAGCTTTGGGTTAGCTTTTCTTGTTCTCGTTCCTTAAGGTGTAAAGTTAGGTGGTTGATCTGAGATCTTTTATAACTATAAACTTCTTAGCACTGTTTTTAGTATGTTACATGCTTGTTTTCATTTTGTTTCAAGGTATTTTCTAATTTCCCTTGTAATTTCTTCTTTGACCCTTTGGGTTGTTTAAGAGTGTATTAAATTCTACATATTTTTGAATACTGCACTTGTTTAAAAAATTTCTACTCCATCTAAATTTAGCTTCCTGGGCATCTGGGTGGCTCAGTCATTAAGCGTCTGCCTTTGGCTCAGTTCATGATCCCAGGGTCCTGGGATCGAGCCCCGCAGCATCGGGCTCCCTGCTCCACGGGAAGCCTGCTTCTCCCTCTCCCACTCCCCCAGCTTATATTCCCTCTCTTGCTGTCTCTCTCTGTCAAATAAATAGATAAAATCTTAAAATATATATATTAAAAAAATAAATCTAGCTTCCTTATATTCCCAGATCACTGTATTGTCTGCCATGCTTATATGCCTTTGCACATGCTATTCTCTTTTTCTGGACAACTTACTCCTGTCATTCCTCCAAGTGAGCATAGCTCAGTATCACATTATTTATGCTCACATCCCCCAGTGCATACGTCTGTTCATCATCTTGTTTTGAGAGGACGTGGTGGTCCATCTCCTGTTGTCTAGAGCTTGGGTCCTCATAACTGGGCTTTTTATATCCTGTTCAGGATTGCAGCCCCAGGTCCCCGTATAGTACCTACAGCATGGTCAGTTAATGAATGTTTGTTTATTTGAATGATTACTTGCATTTTTATGTGCCCTGACAAATTTATTTGGTTATATGATTGCTTTTCTCTTGTTTTTAGGAGATGTTCCTGCTCATATGTTTGGCATGACAAAGTTTGGGGATAACATTGAAGATGAATGGTTTATTGTTTATGTAGTAAAGCAAATTACAAAGGAATTTCCAGAGTTAGTAGCAAGGTATTAGTTATTTTAATAATCTAAAGGAATTCTCTTGTTGAGACTGACTACGTTTTTATCCATTTAGTAAATTTTTTTTTAGTAGTCTGGTGGAGACTGTACAAATTTGAGACATAGATTTTGAAAGTGACTTTGCTTTTTCTTCCTTTTCTTTGTGACTTCCTTTTCTTGAGGAAAAATTAAAGTACTTTGGAGAGCTTAACTTCCAAAATTTTTAAACAAAACCTGCCTATTTTAGTTTTTTTTTTAAATAATTCTCATTATGAAAGACTAAATGCAGGGCACCTGGGTGGCTCAGTCATTTCGGTTTCTGCCTTCAGCTCAGGTCGTGATCCCAGGGTCCTGGGATCGAGTCCCGCATCAGGCTCCCTGCTCAGCATGGAGTCGGCTTCCCCCTCTGTCCCTCCCCCAACTCGTTCTCTCTCTCTCAAATAAATAAAACCTTAAAAAAAAAAAAAGGCTAAATACAGATGGTAAAAAAAATCCAAACAATACCAAAGGGTGTACTACTGTTTAAAAAATCCGTAGGAAAAAATCCCATTTGTATGTACATATATGTATTTTACAGATTTCTTTACTATGTATTCCTCTATTATACCTTAACTATATTTTTTGAGAAATACAGAAAATTTTAATGAAAAATCAGGGAAGAGTTGTATTGAAAGCAAAGTAGGTAGCACTGCATTCTAAATCTATTTAAAATGGGAACTGATAGTTCCCTGTAACTACCAAGTTGTGTCAGCAGAGGGCGTTTCACCCATTTGCCGTATGTTCTGCTAGTTTTCCTGTCAGTCCCCAAATCCTAATCTATCCCCCCAACCTCTTCCCCAGCAGAACAAAAAGAAAAACAACTCTGAAAATTTATTATTATATCAAAAAAACATGAAAGTAGAGAGAATGAACTCATATGTACTTAACACCCAGCTTCAACAATTTTCAATTCATGGACATTCTTACTTTATCTATACCTTACTCCCCCATTACATAGCAAGATTATTTTAAAGCAAATCACAAACAACATGCCATTTGATCTTTAAATACTTTAAGATGTAAATATAAGAGATAACTCTTATTTTAAACACTGTTACCACACCTAAAAATAATTAGCAATCATTTCTTAACAAATGATAGCATTTTAAGTGAACAAACACAAAGATATCAGTTTCTGTCTTTACAAGGATAATAGGGAGAGGGCAGTGCCTTTTGTGTATGGATTTTTATCTTCATTTTACTTTATTTTTTTAGGATTTTATTTATTTGAGAGAGAGATATATACACACAGAGCATGAGCAAGGGAAGGAGCAGAGGGAGAAGCAGACTCCCCACTGAGCAGGGAGCCTGACATGGGGCTCCATCTTGGGACTCCAGGATCATGATCTGAGCTGAAGGCAGCTGCCCCAAATTTTGATCTTTGTATAATGATGGCTCATACCTACACCAGGCCTATACAGCTCTTTAAATAATAGGCATTTGCTGTCTTATCAGTTTTTTAAACAAATTAGAAAAAGAAAGAACTTCCTCTATGTCTCTGACAGATTAATCTTCCTAAGGTAGGGCTCTAACCATTTTTCTACCCTGCTTTGAAACCTTTCATTCCTTTTGTGTATAAAACTACGCTCATTCTCATTGAGTCTGCTAACATTTAAAAAAATTTTTTTAAATATTTATTTGAGAGAGAGCACAAGCAGGGGGAGAGGCAGACTCTCCACTGAGCAGGGAGCCTGATGCAGGGCTCAATCCCAGGCCCCTGGGATCGTGATCTGAGCTGAAGACAGATGCTTAACTGACTGACCCACCCAGGTGACCTGACTCTGCTAACATTTAAAGCTCTTCACAAAATGATATAACTGTGGGTTTTTTTTTTTTAAGATTTATTTATTTGAGAGAGAGAGAGCAGAAGCAGCAGGGGCAGAGGGAAAGAGAGAGAATCTCAAGCAGACTCCATGCTTATCGAGGACCCCAACCCAGGGCTCAGTCTCACAACCCTGAGATCTCTCCCTGAGCCAAAACCAAGAGTCAGGCGCTCAACCAACTGCTCCACCCAAGCACCCCATAACTGTGCTTTTCTAGTCTTATTTACTAATTGTCATTCTCCAAATATCCACCTTAAATATCCACCTCCATGATTTTGCTTATACTATTCCCTCTCCCAAGAACATCTCCCCTTTTCTCCTTGTATCCACCCATTAAAAGGGAAAAAAATTTTTTTCCCTTTTGTGTGTGTGACAAGAGGAGAAAATAAGAATTTATATTCCTATTAGCTAGATTATGCATAAGGAACTTCTGGAAGGATAAACAAGAAATAACAATGGTTGGAGGGTAGGAAAGGGACATATAGGGACAAAAGTAGGAAGGAACCTTTTTCAGTGTGTAACTTTTTATGTATTTTTTTAAAAGTATAATCATGTGACTGCCTTACCTACTCAAAAATTTAAATTTAGGGGCACCTGGGTGGCTCAGTTGGTTAAGCAGCCAGCTCTTGATTTCAGCTCAGTTCGTGATCTCAGGGTCCCGGAATCAAGCCCCACATCGGGCTCTCTGCTCAGTGGGGAGCCTGCTTCAGGATTCTCTCTCCCTCTGCCCCTCCCCCTGCACATATGCTCTCTCACTCTCTCTCTCTCTCAAATAAATAATTAATTAAAAAGTTAAAATCTTTAAAAAAATTTAAATTTTGGGATGCCTGGGTGGCTCAGTCGGTTAAGTGTCTGCCTTCAGCTTGGATCATGGTCCCAGGGTCCTGGGATCGAGTCCCATATCGGGCTCCTTGCTCAGCGGGGAGCCTGCTTCTCCCTCTGCCTGCCCCTCCCTCTGCTGTACTCTCTCTTGCTCTTTCTCTAGCAAACAAAATCTTTTTAAAAAAAATTTTAAATTTAAAAAATGTGATAGAAATGAGGCAAAAACAAAATTATCTCTCAAGGCCCAAGTAACTTCCATAAATGCTTTCCAAATCTCGGTGCTAGGTGATTTTTTTCTTCTTTTGACACCCTATTGTATATTTTTCATATTTTTGTCTGGTGTTATTTATTTATGTACTTATTTTTTCTCCTTATCATCTCCTCCAAATCCTCCTTCAATTTTAAAATCGTCTTCAGCACTTCATGGTGTCTTAAGTATCATTTGCTTTATTATAATAATTTATACATAGCATGTACTCAGATATTTACTAAAATGAAAGAAAAAATATTAGAATAAATGTGTTTTGATTAATAGCATATATATGCTTTTTCAGTGCATAATTAGAATTTCCTCTGCATTAGGATTGAAGACAATGATGGTGAATTCTTGTTAATAGAAGCTGCTGACTTTCTCCCTAAATGGTTGGATCCTGATAATAGTGCCAATAGGGTAAGTATACCCAAATTTGGAAAATTTACAGAGATGAAATCATGTTGTAACATTTTTCATATGTACCTAGAGTTTGTCAGTGCCCAAAATGAAAATTAAAATGTATCATTTTGCAGGTGTTTTTCCACCATGGAGAATTGTGCATTATTCCTGTACCAAGGAAACCTGGAGCAGTGTCCTGGTTACCTTCCACACCCCCAACAATCCCGCAAGCATTGAATATAATCTCAACACACCCAGAAGAAATTTTGGCTTCAGAATCTATACGAGCTGCTGTCAATAGGCGCATCAGAGGGTAAGAAAAATATTTTCATTGCTAGTGAAGGAGCCTTTTTATTTAGTGCAGGTCAAGTCTCTCAAATGTAGAATTTCTTCCACCTAGATTAATGCTCATTTTCATTCTGTCTTCCTCCTTCATGAAAGTGGCTAACAAATTAAATTTACATGTTTTAAAATTAAGGCACAGGGGCGCCTGAGTGGCTCAGTCATTAAGCGTCTGCCTTCGGCTCGGGTCATGATCCCAGGGTCTTGGGATCGAGCCCCGCATCAGGCTCCCTGCTCCGCGGGAAGCCTGCTTCTCCCTCCCCCAATTCCCCTGCTTGTGTTCCTGCTCTCGCTATCTCTCTCTCTGTCAAATTAGTAAATAAAATCTATAAATAAATAAATAAAATTAAGCCACAGATATATCTTTAAATTCCCATTCATAGGTGTTAATATTCTACTCCCAATACTTTTGCATTTATTTACTTAGATACTGTGACTAAGTATTATCTATATCTATAGATAAAAATTTTGAGACCAATAGGAATGAAAACCTAAGGGAGCATTATGTACTCTGTGGTTCTGGGGCTCTGGATGGGATTCTTTGACCTATGTGGAACACTTTAGGTTCTATTCAGAAGAGCCTTCACCTAATAACATATAGTTTCGCCTTTTGAATTTGAGTACCTATTCTATGTTTAGCACCATTCAAGTTATAACAATATAAAATCTCTTTTAACTTCGTTCAATATGCTTTGTACCATTGTTTTAGAAGAATGAACTGTGATTTTATCCTTGTTCCAAAGAATAGTAGGGTTTTTGTTTTGTCTTTATTAAACTACTTTTTTTTTTTTTAAGATTTTAGTTATTTATTTCAGACAGAGAGAACACGAGTGGGGAAGTGGGGAAGGGCAGAGGGAGAGGGAGAGCAGACTCCCCACTGAGCAGGGAGCCCAATGCGGGGCTCCATCCCAGGACCCTCAGATCATGACCTGAGCCAAAAGCAGATGCTTAACCCACTGAGCCACCCAGGCGCCCCTATTGAACTACCTTAATTCCTTTTCTTTATTTTCCATTTTTTCCTACTTTTGCTCTTTCCCTCTCTTCTTTTCTGCAGTTTTTAGTGTATTTGGTAGCTTTATCTTCACCTTCCTTGTCATTCTACATCTTACTCTTGACAATATAAGAGGAAGTAAATGGTAGAAGAATTCTAGATGTTTACATATCATAAAATAAAAATAATCATGTGACCTGCCACAGATACCCAGAAAAAACTCAAGCCTCCCTTCATCGTGCGCGCTGCTTCCTTCCAGCTGGCATTGTAGCGGTGTTAAAGCAGCGCCCCCGATTGGTGGCTGCGGGAGTCCAGGCGTTTTACCTGCGGGACCCCACTGACCTGCAAGCCTGCCGCGTTTTCAAGACTTTCTTGCCTGAAACACGAATAATGACATTGGTAAGATAGCTCTCTTGGTCATTTAGTTTCTGTCACTGGAAAGAGTGGAACATCATTGTGCGCTAGAAAAAACTGGAAATGTTCTGTTTCCTCATGGCAAGTTAATATACTTTTTTTCTTTTTTCTTTTCTCCCATCTGTGGAGGAAGATTTCAAGAGACTTCACTTCCTATTTTATATCTAAATGTTTCTTATTTTCTGACCATATTTTTCCTATTTTATTTTCTTCTTAAGAATAAAACATTTCGGGGCACCTGGGTGGCTCAGTCGTTAAGCGTCTGCCTTCAGCTCGGGTCATGATCCCAGGGTCCTGGGATCAAGCCCCGCATCGGGCTCCCTGCTCAGCCAGGAAGCCTGCTTCTCCCTCTCCCGCTCCCCCTGCTTGTGTTCCCTCTCTCTGTGTCTCTCTGTTAAATAAATAAATAAAATCTTTAAAATAAAAAAAAGAATAAAACATTTCATTTCTTTTTTTTTTTAATTTTTTTATTGTTATGTTAATCACCATATATTACATCATTAGTTTTTGATGCAGTGTTCCATGATTCATTGTTTGTTCATAACACCCAGTGCACCATGCAAAACGTGCCCTCCTCAATACCCATCACCAGGCTAACCCATCGCCCCACCCCCCTACCCTCTAGAACCCTCAGTTTTTCAGAGTCCATCATCTCTCATGGTTCGTCTCCCCCTCTGACATACTCCCCTTTTCTTCCTCTCCTGTTATCTTCTTCTTTTCCTTTTTTCTTAAAATATGTTGCGTTATTTGTTTCAGAAGTACAGATCTGTGATTCAACAGTCTTGCACAATTCACAGCGCTCACCGTAGCACATTAAAACATTTCATTTCTTCCAGAGACTTAAGAATTATTCTTTATCTTCTATGCACCCAAATTGCCGTATAATGTAACTCATGAGAAGAATTCCATTAGTGATAACTAAAACGTAGACAGTGAGGTCAATTTTGTGGTATGTGAATTATGTCTCAATAAAGCTGTTATTAAAAAATGTTGGCAGTGAATAGGTTGGATCTTCTTTGCATTTCATATGAATATGAAGCTCATAAATGAAATTATGAACTGCGAAATGATAGTCAAATTTCTACTTTTAGGAAAACTCATGTATTTTGTGTTCCAATGTCCAGGTGACTTTCACTAAATGTCTATATGCACAGTTGGTACAACAAAGATTTGTGCCAGACCGACGGAGTGGATACAAGATGCCTCCTCCATCTCATCCTCAATATCGAGCCCATGAATTGGGCATGAAGTTGGTAATGCACCATAAAATTTTATATTCTTCCTTTAGGTAAAAAGGCTCTTAATGGAATAATGATACAGCAGAGAAAGTCTAGAAAAATACCTTACTTATGTGAGAATGTAGTAAAATATGGCATTTCAAACAAGAAGGAAAAATGGGTTATTCAGTTAATGATAATAGAACAACTGTGAAGCCGTCTAAAAAATTAAAGTTGATTGCCTCACACCTATCCCAAAATAAATTCCAGGTGGATGAAATATTTAAAAGAGAACATTGAAACCATAAAATCGGAAAGAAAACAGAGGAGAATTTTTGATAATTTGCGTAGGAAAGGCCTTTCTTAGCGGGACTTGAAACCAGAGCTATTAAAAAAAAAAGACTGATAAATTTGATTATTAAAGATTATGTATTTCTGGGGCACCTGGGTGGCTCAGTTAGTTAAGCGTCCGACTCTTGATTTAAACTCAGGTCATGATCTCAGGATTGCTTAAGATTCTCTCTTCCTCTCCCTCTGCTCCTCCCTCCTCCTTCAAAAAAAAAAAAAAAAAAAGCATTTCTGTATGGGAAAGAAAAACTCCATAACTAAAGTCAAAAGATAGTAAACCTGAAGAAAGTATTATATTTGCAATTTAAATTAAAAAGAGCTCATTTCTTTAATATATATAGAGTTCCAAAAAGTCAATATGAAAAAAAATACTACTTAATAAAAAATGTTGAGGAACTATGAACAGACAGTCCACAGGAAAGGAAATACAAATGATTTTTAATCTAAACATAAGAAAAATGTTGGCCCTTGCTCATAATAAAAGTAATGCAACTTAAAGCTACAAAACAGTGTTTTCTACCATTTGGCATATATCAAAAAGTTTGATAATATATATTGGATTGATGAAAATATAGAGAGAGATACTTTCAAACATCATTGATGGAAATATAAGTTGATTCAATCTCTTATAACAATTTGTCAATATCCATCAATATATAAATGCACAAACCCTTCTCAGCATTTTCACTTCTAGATATTTATCCTCCATATATTTTAGATATGTACAAAGATGTATGAGGATACTCATGACAGCATTATTTGTAGTAGCAAAAGATTGGAAACTGCCTAAATGCCTATTAGTAGAGAAATAGATAAATTATGGTCTGCCTATGCTGTGAAATGGATAAATTTGTATGATCATATAAAATGATCTACAACACATGTAACTTGGTGAAAAAGCAAGGTTTAGAACAGTGTATATGTTGCCATTTAATGACAAAAGGGATCCAGTAGGACATACACAGACCACACATCTGCTTGAGTGCATACATTACTTCTGAAAGGATATGCAAAAATTGGTAACAGTAGTTTTCTCTAGAGTGATCAGGAAAGCTCCCTGTCTGACTTATTTTGCTATGCTCATTCATTATATTTTTAGTCAGAAGACACTTAAAATAGAGTGATTCCCTCCCTTCCCTTTCCTATGTCTAAGGCCATGCTGAATTCATTTATAATTTCTGTTAGACAAGAAACCTTTTATAAGCCTTTTTTTAAGTAAACAAGAAATAAGTTTAAATTTCTGGTTTTGTAATCAGCAAGAAGAGAAATCTCCTTGAAGAGAACAAGATTCTTTGTTTTGTATTATTTGCTTTCCCTTTATAATTTTTAGTAATCGATGGAAATTGAAAAACTTGGAAATAGATTTCTCATAAAATTCAGTGTTATGAATGTCCATATGTCTAGTCACCTAGGTCTTAAGTGTGGCTAAATGGAAAGAAAGTAACTTAATAATGAAAATTCTACCTATTCCATCTAGGCTCATGGATTTGAGATCTTATGCTCTGAATGTAGCCCACATTTTTCTGACTCCAGGAAATCCTTCATGACTACCTCACCACTTTGGGCTGGCTTCCTTGAAAGCCTGAAAAAGAATGATTACTTTGAGGTAGGATTTGCAATGCATTTGTAAAACTGTATAATCAAGGGAAAATCAGGCTAGTGAATTAGAGTCCTATGGTCCATATTTAATGTGTAATATTATAGAAACTAGAGTTAAAAGGGACCATTCTAATTCAGTGTTAATGAGGGCATAACTGTGAACTGTTTCCAGTATTTTAGAAAAATTACTAACACTTATATAGAACGCTGAAAGTTATCATGTATCAGAAGAACAATTGGGGCAAATCATAAGGCAAACATGAAGCCACCAAATAGAAAAATGAACGAAGAGGGGCTCCTGGGTGGCTCAGTCATTAAGCATCTGCCTTCGGCTCAGGTCATGATCCCAGGGTCCTGGGATCACGCCCCTCATCGGGCTCCCTGCTCAGCAGGAAGCCTACTTCTCCCTCTCCCACTCCCCCTGGTTGTGTTCCCTCTCTCTGTCAAATAAATCAATAAAATATTTTTAAAAAAAGACATGGATTTAAAAAATTACAAAAAGACAACTACCAAATTTTTCTTAAAATATTCACTCTCACAAGTAGTAAGGATATACATGTGAACACAATAATACTTTTTCACATATGTGAAAAAGGATCTGTATGATATTTAGTGCTATTGAATATGTAGTGAAGTTTATATTCCTATACATTGCCATAACATTGCATATTGATAGAACTTTAACTGGAAAATAATTTGCTAATGTGTTCCAGGAGCTATAGAAAGGTTCAAACTCAGAACCTCCACTTTGAATAATCTATTTTAAGGAAACATCCAAGAAGAAGAAAAGTCCATTAAGAATATGATGATATAGGGCGCCTGGGTGGCTCATTTGGTTGGGTGACTGCCTTCGGCTCAGGTCATGATCCTGGAGTCCCGGGATCGAGTCCTGCATCGGGCTCCCTGCTCGGCAGGGAGTCTGCTTCTCCCTCTGATCCTCTTCCCTCTCGTGCTCTCTATCTCTCATTCTCTCTCTCTCAAATAAATAAATAAAATCTTAAAAAAAAAAAGAATATGATGATATAGGAACAGACATTTCTCCAAAGAAGACAATTATTTTTGACAAAGACGAAGCAAATTATTTTCCAGTTAAAGTTCTATCAATATGCAATGTTACGGCAATGTATAGGAATATTAACTTCACTACATAGTCAATATCACTAAATATCATACAGATCCTTTTTCACATATGTGAAAAAGTAATATTGTGTTCATATGTATATCCTTACTACTCGTGAGAGTGAATATTTTAAGAAAAATTCGTTAGTTGTCTTTTTGTAATTTTTTTACAGATGGCCAACAGATACGTGAAAAGATGCTCAACGTTATTAATCTTCAGAGAAATGCGAATCAAAATCACAATGTGTGCAAAACAAAATCACAAACATCTGTCAGAATGGCTAAAATCTAAAACACAAGAAACAAGTGTTGGTGAGGATGTGGAGAGAAAGGAACCCTTGTGCACTATTTGTGGGAATACAAACTGGTTCAGACACTGTGGAAAACAGTGTGGATGTTTCTCAAAAATTTAAAAATAGAATTATCATATGATCCAGTAATTCCACTAGTGGGTATTTACCCAAAGAAAATGAAAACACTAATTCAAAGGGATACATGCATTCCCATGTTTATTGCAGCATTATTTATAGCCAAGGGAAGCAACCCAACTATCCTATCAATAGATGGATAGGTAAAGAAGATGTGATATATATATTACTCAGCCATAAAAAAGAATGAAATCTTGCCATTTACAATAACATAGATGGATCTAGAATGTAAAATGCTAAGTGAAACAAGTCAGAGAAAGACAAATACCATATGATTTCACTCATGTGGAATTCAACAAACCACATGAGCAAAGGAAAAAGACAAAAAATGGACTCTTAGCTATAGAGAACAAACTGATGGTTACCAGAGGGGAGGTGGGGGAATGAGTGAAATAGGTGAAGGGGATTAAGAGTACACTTATTGTGATGAGCACTGAGTAATGTATAGAATTGTTGAAACACTATATTGTATCCCTGAAATTAATAGAACACGGTAGGCTAACTATACTGGAATTAAGATGTTTTAAAATATGATATAAAGACTGTAGCAATATGGAAAAGTGCTTATGATATTATAGTCTGTTTTTGAAAGAATATAAAATATTAAGTATGAATGCCAAAATAAACATACATGTGAAAATCAGAAATGATAAAGTGGAATTATGCTATTTTTTATTTCTATTTGTACTTTGTTTTATAAATTACTAATCAGTTATTTTTTAATAATTAATTAAATATTAGAAAATGGTAGAAAATCATCCAAATTGGAAAGAGGTCCTTAATGGTGAAAAGGATTAGGAACTACTACATATAGCCCAGTCCCCTTATTTGGAGAAACTAGAGCCCAAAAAGGTACATTAATGACAAAACAGGGATTGGACTCAAGCCTCATGATTCCTGAACAATGTATCACACACTGCCTCCCTGAAAATTGCTGGTGAGCAGGTTATTTTAATGATACCATGTAAATAATGTTCTGATAGGCCTTTTTTTTTTTTTTTTAAGGGACTGATAGAAGGTTCTGCTCAGTACCAGGCAAGGCTAGAAATGGCAAAGAACTACTTCCAACTTTCAGTTAACCGACCAGAAAGGTGAGTTTATCACTACCTAACCGTGGCCGCAGAGTGGTAACCTGCCAGAAGTTAAGGAGTTCCTCACTCTTGAGATAGTTGCAGGAGTTGGAATTGCCATATTTAAAGAGTTAATGGCAAGGATCATGACTGTTGAAGGGGCTGAAGGTGGGGCAGAGGGGGTTTTGCTACAGAAGATCACTGCGTCTGGCATCATCATCATCATCTAATGGCTAACATTTATTGGTAATTATAAAGTGTAGGCCACTTTAATTTGTCAAATCTCTCTTACAATCCTATGAAATAAGTATGATTATTACCGTTCCCTATTTACAGCAGAGAAGCTGAGGCCAAGAGAGATTAAGTAGTTTGCCAAAGGTCACACAGCAAGTAAGTGACAGATACAAGATTTGAACTCAGGTAGTGTGATATTGAGCATATGCTTAATTCCTATAGGAGCCCTTGGCTGTGTCTAGCTACTTTTAGGTGGGTCTGAAACACAGAATAAAGCAGACATTCATCTTTCAAATCAAATCTCATTCTGAGCTGCCATATATTTCCTAGGGGAAGAAAGAAATGAGCACAAGGTTGGAAGGAAATGGCACCCCTTTAAAATTTAATAAAATGGAGGTCTCATAATGGTGGAGTAACATACCCAACTAACCCCCCTGCCAATTGTAATTATAAACTCTGGACAGAATATAAGAAACAATTATTTGAACACACAGTAGAACAACAAAATACGGCAAAAATTGAAGGAAATAGGACCCTTAAGAGAAGATCAGAGTAGATGCGGACCACATTATCTGAGTTGTCCCTTGAGGTCACTTCCTAGTCAGTGCAGCACCAAGGAAAAAACAGAGCTTTAGCAGAAAGCCTCAGTCTTATTGAGCTCAGGAATCAAAGGTCAGAGTTTGAGTATTGGAAAAAATTCAATTTATGTTTGCAGAATTGAATTTGAGATACTCAAAGCTGTTAAATAATATGAAAGAATAGCTTTGTATATATTAGGGTTAAAAGGTCCCAAGTTGTGTTTCGCATTTTGTTGTTGGGCTTTTTTTTTTTTTTTCCAAATAAAACTTTCTGGTTTTGAAATCCAGTCATTCTGCTTGCGTGGCAAACACCACTTATTTGTGTAATAGAATGTTCTTTGAGGACTGGTGAAGCGAAGTTGATGCTGAGAGAACTCTAACATCAGTTGTCCATGAGATAATAATGACTTTATATACAGCAGTCCTTACTCTCAGAGGTGTCTGCATGTGCCTTTGTCCCACTCCCATCAGTTTTATGGCAATAATTGGTGGTAAGAGGATTCCTTCTTGGGGTATCATTTCAGAAAACTTGGGAAAGAGAGTCAGGAGAGTAAAAGAGGTGGCCCTCATGGTTAGGAGAATCTCCCCCAGATGATTCCCATCTGCTTCAAAGGGCCACTCTGCTTGTATAGAAGTATTACCTTACAGACTTGGGTTAAAGAGATGTTAAGTAATTAGACTCGTGTAGGAGGGTTAAGGCTCTTTGCACAAAACAAGATAGATTGGTGGTTCGATAGTTCTTTTTAAGTAAGTTTGTGGGGTGCCTGGGTGGCTCAGTTGGTTAAGTGTCTGCCTTCAGCTCAGGTCTTGATTTCGGGGTCCTGGGATCAAGCCCCATGTCAGGCTCCCTGCTCGGTGGGGAGCCTGCTTCTTCCTCTCCCTTTCCCCCAAGCTCATGCTGTCTCTCACTCACTCTCTCTCTCTCTCTCAAATCTTAAAATAAGTTTGTTGTTACAAAATAACATTCACTCATTATAGCAAATACAGAAAGATGTAATAAGGAAAATATTTATACCAGAGAGTCAACTATTACCATTTTGATCTACTGCCTTCCAGGATTTCCCCCCCCCATTCATGTAGTTATTTTTAAAACATTTTTATACTATATAAAAATTTTCTATCCTGTCCATAATTTTTACTCATTATAATCTTACTTTTTCCCATGACATTAAAAAGTCTTTTAAGCATAACTTTAAAGAGCTGCATAACATTTCAGGAAATGGATGTGCCATAACTTACCATATTTTTACTACTGGAGAAAGAATTATAAGTAGTTTACATATCCAACATTTAATTTTATTTTTTTATTTTTTTTTTAAAGATTTTATTTATTTATTTGACAGAGAGACAAAGTGAGAGAAGGAACACAAGCAGGTGGAGTGGGAGAGGGAGAAGCAGGCTTCCCGCTGAGCAGGGAGCCCGATGCGGGGCTCAATCGCAGGACTCCGGGATCATGACCTGAGCCAAAGGCAGACGCTTAACGACTGAGTCACCCAAGTGCCCCATATCCAACATTTAATTTTATTAATTAATTTATTTAAGATTTTATTTCTTCGACAGAGAGAGTACAAGCAGGGGGAGCGGCAGGGAGAGGGAGAAGCAGGCTTCCCGCTGAGCAGGGAGCCTGATGCGGGGCTCGATTCCAGGACCCTGAGATCATGACCCGAGCCAAAGGCAGGCGCTTAACTGACTGAGTCACCCAGGCGCCCCTACATGTCCAACATTCTAAATAATGTTGCAAAAGAGACTCCCATTCCCCAAACCAGGGTAGCTTCTAAACAGTTTAAAACCAAACTCGTATTTCCCTCCAGACCTGTTCTTAATGCCCAGTGTTTTGTTTTGTTTTTGAATACCTGGATTAATATCACAGACTGTTTCCCATTCTCTTTTTTAAGAGTACTACCATCCTCCTTATCACCTAGACTTCCTGTCTCTCCTTGGATCCAGTCTCTTGATCTTTTTTATTATGTTGTGTCTTGCATTTTTCTTTTTTACTGCCTACCTACTCTAATTAGTTTCTTTTTTTTTTTTCTTACTTATTTCTTGAACTATGGCAATACCTAAATTTGTTTCCCAGCTTCTAGCGACTCTTCAGTTCTAATGCAACCATTAGAGCCAGGAGAATCTGCTTGAAATATGTCTTCAATCATCTTTAATCCCTTTCCTAAAAATTATTAGAGATTGTAAAAGTGAAAGATTGAACAATGTAAGTGTCCATCAATAGTAGATAAATGAATTACAGTGTATTTGTATGATGGACTACTATCCATTAGTTAACCAGAGATTAGCTAAATGTACTTGAGTCTATTCAGGATTTCTCAACCTTGGCACTGTTTACCTTTTGGACCAGATAATTCTTTGTTGTGGGAGATGCTCTGTGTATTATGGGATGTTTAGCAGCATCCCTGGCCTCTACCCAGTAAATGCCAATAGCACTCCATCCAACCCCCAATTGTGACAACCAAAAATATCACCAGACTTTGCCAGATGTCCTCTGGGGACAAAATTGTCCCCAGTTGAAAACCACTGATCTAATAAACAGATTTTGAAAACATGATGTTGGGGAAAAAGGCAAGTTGTAAATATGTAGAGTATGGATGCTATACATATAAAAATGTTTAGTACACAAAATGCCATATATTACTTATAGGTACATATATATTCATTAGTTCAACAAATATTTATTGAGTATCTCCTATGTGCCAGGCCCAATTCCAGGTACTGGGGATAAAACAAATGAACCTAAAGTCTCCCTATACTTATGGAGCTTACATGCTAGTGTAGGAGAAAGACAATAAACCACTATATGATACTAGATGGTGGTAAGTAAGTGCTTTGAAGAGAAAACAGTGTATGAGGAAAGAGAGGTACAGGCTGCTATTCTAAAGATTTTATTGATTGATTGATGATTGATTGATTGTACGAGTAGGGGGAGGGGGAGAAGGAGAAAGAGAATCCCAGGCAGACTGCGCTGAGCATGGAGCCTGACGCAGGGCTCAATTCTATGAACCTGAGATCATGATCTGAGCCAAGACCAAGAGTCGGTGGCTCACCCAACTGAGCCACCCAGGCACCCCTAGGCTGCTATTCTAAGTAGGTTGGTCAAAGAGGCCTTTCCAAGGAGGTTCTGTTTGAGAAGAGACATAAATGAAGTGAGAGAATGAGGCATACATGTATTTGGGGGGGAATAAAATTCCAGGGAAAGAGAACAGCAAATACAACAAATGTGTGTATGTGTGTGCGTGTGTGTGCACACGCGCGCACATGCACACACTCAGTGGACCAGAAGGATTATTTGTGAGAGCAGTCACCTCTGGGTAATAACGAAATGGGTTGGAACTGATAATGTTGATCATCAAAAGAAAAATATTAGCTTTATCTATAAATTTTTAAAGTACATGCATGTTTAATTTTTTATTTTAAAGGTAATCAATCATTCCTTTAGACTGGAAGTAAGTATAACAATATTATAATTCTAGGTGGTAGGATATGGACATTTGTTATATCATCCTTTTTTTTTTGCTATATCTTTTGGACTTGTCTATATTATTTAAATCTCTTAAAACAAAAATTAAAAATAAAAAAGAAGCCATCAGTCATCACCCACTGCTTATTTCATTGAGTCCAAACTTAGCCATTTCAGGCTCACTGTGCTCTCATCCCAGTCCATCTGTTCAGCTTCCTCTTCCACACTTTTGCCAAACTGAACACTATTTGCTTTGTGAACGTGTTCCTCACTTCTTTGCCTTTATACTAATGCTCATTTTCCCCTTTGCCTGAAGTTCCTCTACCCTATCTTACTTGTCAGAATCTTCCCCATTCTGGGTGCCTGGGTGGCTCAGTTGGTTGAGCGTCTGCCTTGGGCTCAGGTCATGATCCCAGGGTCCTGGGTTTGAGCCTCACGTTGGGCTCCCAGCTAAGTGGGAGTGTGCTTCTCCCTCTCCCCCTGCTCCTCGCCCTGCTCATGCACTCGCACTCTCTCTCTCAGAATAAATAAAATCTTAAGAAAACATCTTCCCTGTTTTTTTAAAGATTTATTTTAGAGAGAGAGAGAGCATGTATGAGCAGAGGGAGAGGGAGAGAGAGAATCTCAGACTCCCCGCTAAGTGTAGGGCTCAATCTCATGACCCTGAGATCATGACCTCAGCTGAAATCAAGAGTTGGACACTTAACCGAGCCACCCCCACCCCATTCTTTAAGGCCTAACTCAACTACTTTCATTGTCTTTATCATTTTTTTTTAACTTCTCTGTAGTTAATGTAATTAATTACCTTCTCCTGTGACTCTTCACAGCATTTGGTCCAGCTCTTGATTTTGGCTCAGGTCATGACCTCAGGGTGGTGAGATTGAGCCCTGCACACAGCAGGTAGTCTGCTTGAGATTCTATCTCTCCCTTTCCCTCTGCCCCTCCCCCTGCTCACACTCTCTCTCTCTCTCTCTGTCTCTAAAATAAATATGATTTTATATTGTGTAATTTATTATGATTATTTGTATATTTCTTTTTTTCTCTTAGTAATATTTGCATAATATGTAGTAGTGACAATTTCCTGTCACCTTCATGATTTAGCAAGGTATGCAGATCTTTATTTAAATGAATGTAAGTCCATTCTATAACTTGATTTGCTCCATTCTAAATAGGTCAGGCAGGGTTCCATCAGTTTGTATAACAGGTCACATTGCCATCATAAAATAACATGCTCATCATACAGATAATATCTCTGTGCATTACTTCCTTATCAGTTTACTATAGGAGCATCATAAGATAGTATCAGAAGACTTGATTTCGAGACTTTGCTCTAACTCAATGACCTTTTAAAAGTTACAGAACTTCACTGAGCTCTGGTTTTCTCATCTGTAAAACAGGATTATTACCTCATAGTAGTAATTAGAGGACTAAATAAGAAAATGTATTTAAAGTGCTAGCCTGGGGCACCTGGGTGGCTCAGTCGTTAAGAGTCTGCCTTCGGCTCAGGTCGTGATCCCAGGGTCCTGGGATAGAGCCCTGCATTGGGCTCCCTGTTTGGGGTGAGCCTGCTTCTCCCTTTACCTGCTGCTCCCCCTGCTGTGCTCTCTCTCTCTCTGTCAAATAAATAAAATCTTAAAAAAAATTAAAATTAAGTGCTAGGGCACCTGGGTGGCTCAGTTGGTTAAGCGACTGCCTTCGGCTCAGGTCATGATCCTGGAGTCCCGGGATCGAGTCCCACATCGGGCTCCCTGCTCGGCAGGGAGTCTGCTTCTCCCTCTGACCCTCTTCCCTCTTGTGTTCTCTATCTCTCATTCTCTCTCTCTCAAATAAATAAATAAAATCTTTTAAAAAAAAATAAAATTAAGTGCTAGCCTATCATACATGCAAGATTAATTTTAGTTCATACTTTCCTCTGGGTTTTCTTTTTCTCATATATATGCTATATATAAATTGAAAGAGTTATACTAAGTCAGCAGCTTCATAATGATGTTCCATGCATCCTGTTGCAGAACCAAAGGCAAAGGTGAAATGGTTACATCTCTGAGCTTCCAAACTCCATTTCAATCAAAGCAGTTTTTCTTTTTCAGCTTTACTGAGAAATAATTGAGGAATAAAATCGTAAATATTGAAGGCATACATCATGGTGATTTGATATTTGTACATGTGAAGGGATCTAGTTAATTGGCAGTTCCATCACCTCATGTATTTATCTTTTTGATGGGGCAATTTGAACATTTAAGTTCTACTCTCTGAGCAGATTTCACTTATAAGATACAGTGTTATAGTCACCATGTTTTACGTTAGATCCTTAGATGGTATTCAGAAACTTTGTACCGTTCCTTTTACCAACCTCTCCTTATTTCCCTCACTCCCTCGTCCCTGGCAGCCACTTTTCTACTCTGTTTCTATGAACTTTACTTTTTTTTTTTTTGAGATTCCACATATGTGTAATACCATGCAGTGTTTGTCATTCTCTGTCTGGTTTATTCCATTAGCATAATGACCTCAGGGTCAATCCATTTCACAAATAACAGTATTTCCTTTTTATATATATTTCTCTGAATAATATATGTGTATATATTTATTATATATATTTGTAATTGTAATACAATTTGTAATATAATTGTATATAGCACATCTCCTTTATCCTGTCATCCATTGGTGGACACTTAGGTGGTTTCCATGTCTTAGCTATTGTGAGTAAATGCTGCAGTGAAGGGAATTGCAGGTATCTCTTCAATATCCTGTTTTCATTTCCTTTACATATATACCCAAAAGTAGAATTGCTGGATCATATGCTAGTTCTGTTTTTAATTTTTTTGAGGATTCTTCATACTGTTTTTCATAGTGGTTGCACCAATTTACATTCCCACCAAAGCACGGGGGTTCCCTTTTCTCCACCTCCTTACCAACTCTCTTGTCTTTTGGTAATATCCATTCTGACTGGTGTGAGCTGATATCTCATGGTGATTTTGATCTGCATTTTCTTGATGATGAGTGATGTTGAGCACCTTTTCATGTACCTCTTGGCCATTTGTACATCTTGTATTCAGGTCCTCTGCCCATTTTTAAATCAGATTGTTTTTAACTGATGAGTCATTGAACACTACATCAGAAACTAACGATGTAGGGTGCCTGGGTGGTTCAGATGGTTAAGTGTCTGCCTTCGGCTCAGGTTATGATCTCAGGGTCCTGGGATTGAGTCCCACATTGGGCTCCTTGCTTGGCAGGGAATCTGCTTCTCCCTCTCCCTCTCCCTCTCCCCCCTGCTCATGCTCTCTCTCTCTGTCTCAAATGAATAAATAAAATCTTAAAAAAAAGACACTATTGATGTAGTATATGTTGGCTAATTGAATTTAAATTAAAAAAATAAATCAGATTTTTTTTTATTTTAAATATTTTTATTTATTTATTTGACAGAGAGAGACACAGCGAGAGAGGTAACACAAGCAAGGGGAGTGGGAGAGGGAGAAGCAGACTTCCCGCTGAGCAGGGAGCCCAATACGGGGCTTGATCCCAGGACCCCGGGATCATGACCCAAGCCGAAGGCAGACGCTTAACGACTGAGCCACCCAGGCGCCCCAGATTGTTTTTTTTACTATTGAGTTGTATGAGTTCTTTATATATTTTGGATATTAACCCTTTATCAGATGTATGATTTTGTAAATATTTTCTCCCATTCAGTAGGTTGCCTTTTCAGTTTCCTTTGCTGTACAAAGCAGTTTTTCTTTGAGCTCTTTTAGAGTTCTGGTAAAATTTTATTTGAGAAAAAGGGGTCTATAACCTAAAGCAATTGTTTCAAAACAAATTAGACTAGATTATTCCTCCCAGCTTTAAAATACTATTTTTTTGTGATTATTATTCTGAGCTGTCTTATAAAAAAATTGCCATGTCTTCTGTTTTTTTATAGCTCTCTTGCTATGAGCCCAGGTGAAGAAATCTTAACCTTATTACAAACTGTACCATTTGATATAGAAGAGCTTAAGAAGGAAGAAGCTAATCTTCCCCCAGAAGATGGTAAGTGATGGACCAGGATAGAGCAGAAGGTTTAGGAAAGATGAAAATATTCCACTAAGTCTCTCAGGGCCCTTCTCTGAGAGTACCTCCCATGTTCAGTGTGGTATGGTGGTGTCCTGTTTTATTCTTTTTCAGATGACCAGTGGTTAGATCTCTCACCAGATCAACTGGACCAGCTACTGCAGGAAGCTGCTGGCAAAACAGAAGCAGAGCCCATTTCCAAGGAGGAGCAGAACTACGACTTAAGTCAAGTCTCAGAAAGCATGAAAGCTTTCATTTCCAAAGTTTCAACCCACAAAGGAGCAGAGCTACCTCGGTAATTTTGTGTTAGAGTATAAATATCTAAGTAGTTAGAATGCAGATGTTGAAGTCATCTAGTCATTGCCATTTCTGCTCTTGTTTTTCTTTTCAGTAAATGATTTATACTGCTGTGTTTTCCTCTTTTGGTGCCTAGTACCATGATGACTTATCTGGAGTTGTATTTTTAATAGCCTGATTCTTTGCAATTCTTAAAGTAAGTCAGAGAGACTACTCAACAGATCTAAAAGTGTCCATCCCAGAGCTGTGCAAGGAAATCGTGTATTTTACTCTTTAAACTTTTCTCAGAACCTTATGGGCTCTTAACACCTAGCTCTCAGCAAATCCACACTTCCATTCAATCTCCCACCCCACAAGTCGATTGGAAGCTTCACATTCAAAAGAGAGGGATAAAAGAGTTCATCAGAGGAAGAAATAATAAATGGGAAGTTACATTTGGCAAGTAATAGGAAAATAAGGTAGATGGAATTGTCACTTGTATAGCAAATATATCTTTATTTGTGTTGATGCTCTTGAGCCTCATGAGAAGAATAAAATTTATGTTCAGTATTCTCTTTTTAAGAAAGCAGAGATTGGGGGGGCGCCTGGGTGGCTCAGTTAAGTGTCTGACTCTTTATCTCAATTCAGGTCTTGAGCTCAGGATTGTGTGTTCAAGCACCATGTTGGGCTCCACACTGAGCATGGAGCCAGTTTAAAAAAAAAAAAAGAAAGCAGAGATAAGAGAAAATATGTTCTTACTTTTAAAAGTTTAGTTCCTAAAGAAATAGACCTTTTTAAAATTAACTCAGGGACGCCTGGGTGGCTCAGTTGGTTGAGCGACTGCCTTCGGCTCAGGTCATGATCCTGGAGTCCCGGGATCGAGTCCCGCATTGGGCTCCCTGTGCAGCGGGGAGTCTGCTTCTCCCTCTGACCCTCCCCCCTCTCATGTGCTCTCTCTCTCTCATTCTCTCGCTCAAAATAAATAAATAAAATCTTTTAAAAAAATAAAAATAAAATTAACTCAGAGATGTGATTTATTCTGCTAATGCCATATATATATATATATATATATATATATATATATATATATATATATATCTCTTGTGGGAGGTGCAGGGTGGGTAGGTCCCTAAATCAGTATAAGTTACATCTGCATAAACAAAGTGACATTTTTACTTTACTTTTCTTTTTTTTTAAAGATTTTATTTATTTTTGTGAGAGAAAGAGAGATCATGAGCACAAGAGGTGGGGGAGAGGCAGAGGGAGAAGCAGACTCCCTGTTGATCAGGGAGCCAGATGTGGGACCCGATTCCAGGACTCTGGGATCATGAGCTGAGCCGAAGGCAGTTGCTTAACTAACTGAGCCACCCAGGCACCCTTTACTTTTATTTCATCAGTCTTTCCCATTTCTTTTGCAAGAAATATTTTTTTTCTTTACATAATATTTTCTTTAAATAAAATTATTTTCTTACAACAAAAACTGTAGTTTAAATGGTCTTACAGAGGTAAATTACTTAATAAAAATCCCTTCCAGAAAATGGTACTGTGGGCAGATATTTGCAGAAAAGTACACAGGCTGAGCTGAAAAATATGGCTTTTTTTTTTATTATGAATTCAATTACTAAAATTTTTTACTTAAAAATTTTAAAACCGGGACACCTGGGTGGCTCAGTCGGTTAAGCGTCTGCCTTCGGCTCAGGTCATGATCCCAGGGTCCTGGGATCGAGTCCCGCATCGGGCTCCCTGCTCGGCAGGGAACCTGCTTCTCCCTCTGCCTCTGCCTCTCTCTCTCTCTGTCTCTCATGAATAAATAAATAAATAATAAAAAAAAATTTTAAAACCTACAGAATACATGAATATACTTTGATATAAATATTCAAGCCATACAGAGTTATTATTGTCTCACATCTCACTCTCTTCCCAGAGTAGACCATTTAAAGACCATTTAAACTACAGTTTAGTAGTTTAAGACCATTTAAACTACAGTTTTTCTTGTACTTCTTTTGAGATCGTATCTCTAGTAGTAGTCCTAAGAATGGCACTGCTTTAAAAAAACAAACAAAAAAAAGGTCCAGAGAGTTGTGTTCAAAATAAATGGTCTTTTTCCTTTAATCTTACAGAGAAACTTCTGAGGCTCCAATCACTTTTGATGCAGAGTCTTTTCTTAATTATTTTGACAAGATTTTAGGTAAGTTACAGTGTGATGTTTATTTTCATTTTGAAACTATAAGTAGCAAGGCTGTTGCTAGAGTACTAGAGCATTGGATCTCTTGGAAGTCAAAGTATTTGCTTTCTCTTAATGATTTTGAATTTCTTTCAGCCATGAACTTCTGCCCAGTTGAATGATTTTGCAGAGGATGCTTAGCTCAGTGCCTAACATAGTAGCTGCTCATTGAGTATTTGTTGAATGAGTGAATGCTGTGTGGCTAGATATGGTTTTACCTTGGCTTCCATGTTACACTGTTTTTTCTCTTTTAGACTTACTATACTTAGCCCTAATAATTAAAAGACAAATAGCCCAATTTAAAAAATCAACAAAGGATATAAACAGGCAATGCCTTGAAGAAGAAATACAGACAAATATTTGAAAATACTTGTTTCTAGTAAATAAATACCCAGTTTTCTCAAAGGGTTGAAGAAATGGGTACTGTCAAACCATGAGCCTGGAAGTTTAAGTCTTTCACAGGGTGGTTTGGAACTCTAGAAAGTTTATAACCTTTGACTTGGTAATTTCACTTCCAGGAATTTTCTCTATGAAAAGGACACATATGTGCTAAGATAGTGATTACAGCATTGTAGTAGCAAAAAATTGGAACGTCCTAAAATGTCCATGGAGAAGGAAATGGCTAAATTATAGTACAATCATATTGTGAAATATTGGGCAGTCTTAAGAAAGAATGAGATCCATCTACATGTTTTAACAAAGAAGGACTTCCAAGACCTAGAAATAAGTGGAAAAGCAAACCATGGTTCAGTGTGTGTGTGTGTGTGTGTGTGTGTGTGTGTGTGTGTGTGTATGTAATACCCTTATGTTTTTATACATACGTACAGAACTGCATAAAGGCCTGGGTACCCACCACACTGTTAAAAGATGCTTAACTCTGGGAAGAGAGTGAGATGTGAGACAATAATAACTCTGTATGACTTGAATATTTATATCAAAGTATATTCATGTATTGTGTAGGTTTTAAAATTTTTAAGTAAAAAATTTTAGTAATTGAATTCGTAATTTAAAAAAAAGCTATATTTTTCAGCTCAGCCCGTGTACTTTTCTGCAAATATCTGCCCGCAGTACCATTTTCTGGATTTTTATTAAATAATTTACCTCTGTATATTAGTCCTTTTCTGCAGATAATATTTAACTCTTTAGAGAGGTATAATCACTCAAGAAAAAATTACCATGTGGCTCTTTTTGTGTTGGGGTCTGTGTAGGTCCAAGTCCTCATGAATCAGACTCCGATGATCTGGCTGAGGAAGACTTTGAATGTTTGGATAGTGATGATGACTTGGATCTTAAAACCCAGGAGACTGGGGAAGAAGCATCTGTAAAAGGAACTCTTAATAATCTCAAGTCATACATGGCCCAGATGGACCAGGAATTGGCACATACCAGCATTGGCAAAAGTTTCACCACCCAGAAGCAAATGGTACGTGAGTGTTTAACCTCTTCCCCTATCTGCATATCTTAATATTATGAAGGAGAGCTAAAACTCTATTTTATCTTAGCTTTTTTTTCTTTCCTTTTTTTGATTTGTGATCTTTTTTTGGTTATGAATTTGATATTTTGATTTGAAATAAATAAGAATTTAAGATTGGTAATGTTTCCCTAAGGATTATTAACTTTGTTCTCCTAAATATGTTTAATTATATTACTTATTCTATGTTATCCATTAGGATTTAACATTAAAAGTTATGCAGTGTGGTCAGACTAGTTTGTGGTTGCATTCTACTACTAACAGCTTACATGGACTTTAAAAACAGAAAGTGTCTTAAATATCCAAATAAATTTTTTTAAGATTTTATTTATTTATTTGACAGAGAGCGAGAGCAGGAACACAAGCAGGGGGAGTGGGAGAGGGAGAAGCAGGCTTCCCGCGGAGCAGAGAGCCCGATGCGGGGCTCGATCCCAGGACACTGGGATCATGACCTGAGCCGAAGGCAGATGCTTAACGACTGAGCCACCCAGGCACCCCCCAAATAATTTTCAAGTCTTAATAGTGTTTGTTGTTTTCTTAATTTAGGGCCAAATTAAGAATTCATCTTCCACTCATTTTTTTTATCCTAGTTTTTATACCAGCAGTGTCTAACCTGGACCTAAGAGACATTATGAAAGCGGACCCTGGAGCCTTGGGGATTAGGGTTTGAAATCCAGCTCAACCATCCACTGTGAATATATATCCATTAACCAGTAATCCTTATGTTGTAGAATCAATATGAGAACTAAGTGAAACAACAGTGAAATCCATAAGGCCCTTAATGACTGTTATTTACCTTGCTTTGATCATCTAAACCACATTTAAACTATAATCACTTCCAGTATTGCCCAAACCTAATAGAAACCAAGAAATAGTATGTTAAATTTATCTAAAGCAGTGTTTCTAAAATATTAGTATGTATATGAGCCATCTAAAGATCTAAGTAAAAGTGAAGTAAAAAAAAAAAAGCAAACTATAGAAAATAAAATGTGGATTCTGGTTAAGTTGGTCTGGGGTGAAGCCTGAGATTTTACGTGTCTAAGAGGCTTCCAAGCAGTGTTGGGATCAGCATGCTGCTGATTCATGGACTGCACTTTGAATAGCAAAGATACTAAGGTCTATAACTCAAGCTGCAATCTTTCAAATCCTTTCCCCAACCTGTGAAACCAGAGAGGTTCAAGTAACAATTCGGAATCTTTGTGGTTGGACTCCACAGAGCCTCAGGTTTTTAAAGTTTTTTCACTGGGGGATAAAAAGGAAATTAGTTTCTTTCATTTAGAGAAAAAATTAGATTCTTTTTTTTAATGTTCATATTTGCGTATCTCTTTTAAAACTCTTAGGCGAGCTATAAATATGTCTCCTTAACCTTGGTTATCTCCCTTGGGCTATTTGAAAACAGGGAAGAAATCCAATTTATAGAAACTTTTCCTAGAAAGAAGTGTGTTAAAATCTTTGGAACCAAATTCTAATATGTGTGTTAAATTGTGAAGCTTATTAGACTTCATTTTTATTTTCTATCATTAAGGATAAGAAATTGCCTTTTTAATTTAGATTTCAGTTTTACATTATTGCTTAGTTTTTATTGTAACTACCATCTAATCTAATGGCCTATTCCATGATTTTGTTTTCTCTCCATAAATAAGGAACCTCTATCCCAGACTACCAATAATTCAGATGAGGAAGATTCTGGTGCAGGCGGATCTGTTATGACACCAGTGGATATAGACCTGAACCTGGTTTCAAATATACTGGAATCCTATAGTTCCCAAGCTGGACTGGCAGGACCTGCGTCCAACCTTTTACAAAGCATGGGAGTACAGCTGCCTGATAACACTGATCACAGACCCACAAGTAAGCCAACACAAGATTAGCCAGCACACCTAGCCTCTCTTTTTTTCTTCTTAAATAAATATTGAGTCTCACTGTGCTCCTGTCTAGTTTAGATGACTCATTTAGTAAAAATGTTTCTTCAGTACAAGTTTCACAGGCTAACTTCTCCTCTGTGAGCCCCAAATGTCCATTCTGCATAAGTCTTTGTGATCTCCGCTGAGGTACATTACAAGGTTTTGAAGTCAGCAGAAGAGAGAAAAATCAAGCCCCTGGACAGCCCCTGAGAGATTTACACACTCCGTGTTTAGAACATTAAGTTTATCTTTATTGAGGATTAAAGGAAAAGAAAGGAGGGTGATAGGCAAAAATGAGAAATGAATGAGTTGCTTTTTTATTCCAGTTACCAGAAATGACCTTTAGCCAGGCTCACTCTGGTGACAAATACATTTGTTTTAATGTTTTACCTGTTTTTGCTCTTCTGCTTCATGGACTGAGTGGGCTCTTTTTCTCCTTACCACCTTCATCACTCATTGCCACATGAATATTGTCCAGCCAGGTAATCCCTGTACCAAAGTTCCTTTTATTTATCTGCCATTTTCAGTACCCCAACCCTGCCCTTTTTGCCTCAGCTTTCAGGTATCCTTGGAGTTCTAAGAAGCAAAGCCCTCCTCCCACTCACTGCCAGGAAATAAAGTTCAGTGTCACAGCTCCTCTGTTAGCCTCTCTCATTTTTCTTTTCCAAATCAACACATTAATCCAAAAGCAAACAGTTACTCCATGGTAAGTTTGAGAAACTTAACGTGAATCCTGCACACTCCCCTTTCTATCAGTATTTTCAGATTGGGGATGTGTACACAGGTGCTCACAAACACACCCACAGAGAGATAGAAAAGATTGGGAGATGGTAATACACATGGACCCTGAACTGTTTTCTTCTAACTGCAAGATATGAAGAAATCTCAGGACCTCCCTTTGGAGAGTGCTTTTCCCTTCTACCTGCTGGGTTCAGTTCAGGTCAGGGCAAGCTGCCAACCTAACAGGACAGTCAAGTCCCATCACATACTATCCCTCAACATTTCCTGATGAAGGCACTTTGATTTCCCCAAAGTACTAATGATTTGCCAGCAATGGCAAAAGCAACAACCTTTTGGGATCAAAGGGAAATTCAGCACTCCATCTGTCTAGTTCTAGAATCTAGTAGACTTTAATGTGTGAATAATCTTAGTATCTCTGGCACTTGAGTCTTTTATCACAAATTAGTGCCTGAAATCATCCGAAGATACAACTCTTTCCCGGCCATTCCTCTTTTCAAACAGACTTCTAACAATTTTTCTTCTGCACATCGCTTCGGTTTTTCCACACTTGGGACCTGGGCTTCAATGCTTATCATACAAATAGATTCCTTTTCTCCCTCCCCACTCCCTGCCCCAGATTCTTACTTTCTTCTATTTCCTCACTTCATAAGACAGAAAAATACATCTGAACAAAGGTGTGGAAATTTATTTTATTTCCTCCAGATAAATCCTCCCTTATGACAAGGTATAGAATGACATACATGAATGATGAGCCATCCTAAATTTAGCTTATCCCATAAAACAAGAAATGGTTTGCCCTCACTAATCCCTTAGCTGAAGTTACAACACTTAACAGTATGCAAATGGCAGTGACCATTTTATATTTAGGAAATCAGACATGGCAAAGTGATCATCTTTTCCTTGGGTCACAAGCTAAGCAAGTAACGGCAAAAGACTTAGCTCTCTTAAGCCCCACTGGGATGCAATTACCCCAGCAGAAGATCACTGCATCTGATTTATTACAGGGTACTCTGAGGAAGATCTTGGCTCCCACTTTCTTCATCCCTTCAGATGACTTAAAGAAATAAGGCTTTTATTTAAATAACCATGTACAAAATACCTGTACACGAATTTTTTAATGTTATATTGTGCCATTTTTCTTAATTCTATTAGGATGAAAGGTAACTCAGTAGTGGGTTGAGATTTGCTATGTATCTTCAATACTAAGATAAAATTAAAATTATATCAGGCACATTTTTGCAGTTAGTGTAAACCCAGCATTAATGAGATACATGCCAAAAGATGTTTGCTTCCAAGACCTCAGTAAAAATGGGTGCATGGGGGCCTATATCCAAACTAATGCCTCAAACTTCCCTCTGATTTTGACAATCGTCATTATCTGTTTGGCATTTTGATTGCCTATGAATAGGAACTTCCTTAACACTGCTATTAGAGGTATCCTGCTGTAGGGTCACCTCCCGCTCTGCCTTAGTATGAAGTTGGAGATGGCCTTTGGTCACCTCCCTTTTACCAACTGATCTCTTTTATGCCCCTCCAGGATACTGAGAAGGGATCTGGGTGGCTCAACCTGAGCTAAGCAGGCAGGGTAGAGCAGGACGGCTTTTCCACCCACTCCTTAATCAGTTGGTGGGCAATGGCTAACTTAGGGGGCAACCAGAATGTCCCATACTGTTGCTGAGTATATGGATTGTTTTTCCTCAGGGCTGTGGCTACCTCATCATGACTGAACCAGCCAGCTGCCTCTAGTTCTTTCAAGTTCACCTGGATCTAAAAGACATAAAGAAAAACAGAATGTAAGGTTAGGAGCTACAAAATTTAGAAAACTCTGGCCAAAGGTGAGAAAATGTTCCCAGAACTGAGCAATACCTGGGATCTACAGGCTGAGAGATAATCAATTTTAGATATTGTGCAGAAGCAAAAGAGGCATAATTAAAAGGTGAGAGTTAAATATATTTTTTTAAACAGTGTAAAAGAAAAAAGTGCCTTTTAAAAATCTTGGAAGCACAAATACTGAAATACTAAAGAGTGGTTAACAGTGAGGTGTAATATATAAATAATTCTTGATTAACTTTCAATTTAAAAAGAAAATAAAATTACTCTTCTCTAAGGGATAAGGGATTATTAATGATTATCAAAGGCATAGTATCTTCTTTGCAATGCACATTGTATCCATAGGAAGCTGAGACAGATGAGATATTATTAATTCTATGCAAACCAAAACACAATAGACTTTGGCAGGTAGGGACCACAATGCCATCTATCAGGATGCTGCAGAAGAGCAAGATGAGGCTGGATAAGACAACATCTAAATCCCTTTCAACCAGAAGTTCCTATGATTTTATATAATTGGTCCCCAACATCCTAACAGCCTTGAATAAGACCAACCTTGAAATCAGTCCTTTAATTTGATATATTTATTGTGTGCCTACTCTGTGTAAGATGTTCAGTTAAGTACTGCTGAAAAATAAATTGTCACATGACTGAGATACATACAAAGAAGAATGGTAATTGTGCGGGTGCTCTGAATTTTCATGGAGATTGCTTCCTTTATAAGATTGGAAACTCCTAAAGGGAACAGATCCCATGTTACACATCTTTGTATAATGTAGACAATGCTGGACTAGAAAGGTGCCTACTGACCATTGTGGGTGAAGCAAAGGAAATACATACCCTAAGGAAGCATCAGAACTTACCTCTGTCTGCCCTGGATGCACAGTTGCATGACAAGCAATCATGAGTGAGCTATTAGGAAAGGGCCAGTGCTGGGATGCGGAGTACTGCAGTCTTTCCACCTCCAATCCCACCTCTTCTGCAACTTCTCTCCGGACAGCCTCTTCCAGACTTTCACCTATAAGCACTCAGATTAATTCAGGACAGCCTTGTAGCAGGAAGGGTGATACAGATGCCCATTTGTGAAAGGAGCCCAAAACTGGCTCCAAAGTTTCGATTAAGTATTCTTGGGAGAGCCCTAAGTCCCTGAGTCTCTACAGCAACAGGACTCAAGTCTGGAGTTGGGTGCTGAATTACAATACTTATACTAGTTACTTAATTAGTTAGTGAGAATGCAAAATAAGAGTGACAGGCTACTGCTGACCTCAGCTTTAATAAAATTCTTATGCCATGTTTGACCTTTTGCAAATTTTACCCCAATAGACTGAGAAAAAAACAACCTGTAAATATCTATTGAATTCTAATTAATACAATGCACGCTGAAATATTTAGGGAGAAGTGTACTAATGTCTGCAAACTATGTATCAAAGAATAAAATGGATTGGTGGATGGATAGAATGGGTAGATATGTGATAAAAGAAATGAAGAAAACAATTGTAGGATCTAGGTGGTAAGTGTATGGGTGAGTATTAACTGTATAATTCTTTCAGGTATGCCGTATGTTTGAAAACTTGCCTAATATTGGAAAATTATAATGCCAGAAGGCAGTTTTCCTGACTTGACAGGGAACAGTGTGCTTGAGACTTCAAGCACAAAAGCAACAAGACAAATACCTACTATTGTTAAACTTTTGTGTCCTCCAGTCATCTGTACATGCCCTAAACTTCTTACCTATATCACAAAAACCTGCCAAGGCAGAATACATTCCCTTGGGAAAGGAACTCTGGCGGGCAAGCAGGCATCGAGTCCCATCTGACACCAGAGTGATCACCACAGGAGCCATCTAGGAAAAGGGGATGGAAGACAGACATTAGGGTTTGGGGCCTGTTAATGGATGAAGGAATGGGTAACTAAGGAAAGCCTTTTAACTGTATAGGCTTCTATCCCCAGGACAGGCTAGCACAGTCTTGGATTACTGTCCTTTTATTTTTTTTATTTTTATTTTTTTTTAAAGATTTATTTATTTGAGAGAGCGAGAATGAGAGAGAGAGAGTACATGAGAGGGGAGGGGGTCAGAGGGAGAAGCAGGCTCCTCGCCGAGCAGGGAGCCCGATGCAGGACTCGATCCTGGGACTCCGGGATCATGACCTGAGCCGAAGGCAGTCGCTTAACCAACTAAGCCACCCAGGCGCCCGGATTACTGTCCTTTTAAAGTAGTGCTTACCTGTGGATAATAGATAATCTTATTGGAAGGGCACACACGCTTGCTGCCAGCCATATTCTTCTTGGTGGGCTGCCCGCTTCTGCTACAGAACTGATGAGCATCATGCCAACGGAGAAGAGCCTGAGCCTAGGAATACAAAGATAGGCTGATTTCATTTGGAGAGAATGTGAAGCTCATCTATAATAGTGCTGGCCTGGTATTTAGAACAACTCAAAGGGAAATGCCAATCCCTTTCCAGCTCACCTACTTTAAATGGTTATTAACTGTTTGAACTTTAAAATAAGGAAACTATCTGGAAATACTCCTCTAGCATCTGAAATATGAATAAGAGAAAGTATTATCATCCATTTAAAATACATATATAAACTATTATAATGAATGGCCCATGTACTTAGGATCCAACTTAAAAATAAGATATTTCCAATGTAGTGTAATACCCCAACAGGTATTCCTCCCCAATAAAGGTGGAATTTTTTTGCAAATAAAAATGTTTAGAGATGTCTTTTTAAGTAAAATGAACAACCAAAAGCACTTTAACAAGTGAAGTCTAAAGCTGTGAGGAGAAGTCATTAAAGCAATACAAAGTAATTTTTCATAGGACTAACATAATGATGTGTGTTATGCTATGGGTCATTAAAAATATCATGAGGCTGATAGATCTGCATTTCTTTAGGAGAAAATGGTCCTGCCAAAAATAAGGGCAAAAGAAAGAAGAATAAGCAATCTCCCTACAGCACCTTGTCCTTCTGCCAAGGTTTGTAGGAAGGACTGTGATCTATTCAAGAAGAAACCAAATGTCATTCTAGCCTTGGGCATGCATGCATGTATTCACCCATAAACATTGCTTTACTAAATTTCCTACAGAACTAAGAAGTCAGAATCTACCGTGGTCAGCAAGGAGGCATCCTTTGTATTCAGCTGAAAGAGAGCCTTCCTCAGCTCAGTGAAAGAGCCCTTGAGCTCTGTCTCCATTTCTGGTTTCTGTAAGGAAGCTAGAAAATGAGAACAGAGGATAAAATGAAACAAACACCAAACTTTGCCTTGGGGCCCCTCTCAAGTATGCCTGTTAAAGCAGTGTTTTCCAAACTCGCCTGATAATACTTTATTAGGGAAAATAAAAAATATACGGGTTCTCAAGCCCCTACCTGGAGATTCTGAACAGCAGGTGAGTAAGGCCCCGAAATCTTTATTTTTAAACAAGCACTGGGTGATTTCTTATATTCTGGCAAATTTGCGAAACATCAGAGCATAGTATTTTTCAAGATCCTCTTCAGAGTAATAAGAATATTTGCACTAACCACACACTCTCCCTGGAAGAGAGGTAAAATGGCACCTCTAAGCTCCTATCTGCACTGGATTCCAGCATCATTACATTTACAACCAGACCTGGAAGGAGAGAAGGAAAGTCTAGTAGGAACCATGAACCTTATACCAAACTGGTTCCCAAATACGGGTCTGAAGCCCCTGAGCATGGTAACATGTTTAGTCACCTGAGATAAGAATGATGTCATGAATTTTAAAACATTTAAGAAATATAATAAAATGTATTAAGGTACAGAGAATAAAACATCTGTGTACCTACCACCAAGCTTAGAAAGTATTAAAATATTCTTTATCTTTTAAATGATGATGACAGTAAATGGGTAGTTTTTTTTAGTCCTAACTTAAAAAAAAACAAGGTTGATAACCTTTGGTATTCACAAAACTTTTTTTGAAATTTTACTATTACATGAGAGCCCTAAGTCTGAGCACCACTGGGAAGTATCCATTAGAAATAATGTTCTATACCACTTATGGAAGAGGAGCTATTTAGACCTAGATCCAGAGCAAACCATGCTTCATGCTGTTCAGAGCATCCAATCAGCACAGAGTCTTCTATTCTTTGTATGTCCTGTCCAAACTTTGCCAGGAGACTTTCCAACTCTAAGAAACAGAAAAGGAAGAAAAGGTTTTTCATTAAATCACCACAGCCATATTAACCTAGGAAATCATCTACTTCAGCTTGAAGTAGGTATACCTGCTTCTAGCCACTGCCCTGCAGCTAATTAGCTATGTAATCTTGGTCTAATCACTTAGCCTCTCTAGGCCTCCATCTTCCCATCAGCAATCTGAAGTGTTTAGACTAAAGAAGGAATTCTTGCTCTATACCACTGTATTCTGTGATTGTATCATGAAAGGAGAATATCCCCTAGTTCAAAAGATACATGATAGTTAATGTATTACGGTGCTGAAAAAAAAAAGTGAATGCTTAAAATGCTAGAGACCAATTCAGTTACATAGAATGTAGTCTCCAGATTGTGCTAGGTGTCTGGTCTAGGGTAGACTATTCATCCAAGATCCTAGTCTGTATAAGACAAGTGCTGTATAGGGAGAAAATCTGTCCTGTGCGTGAAGGACATATTTATTTGTTCATAATACAACATAACATTGCCTTCTGATGGCATCCTGATACTCTTTTGCACTGCTAGAAACTACCTATCCAAGTACTCAACATCTGACCCATGGAGGAAATTCATTGCCTTTGTATTTAGAAGTAAGTCAGTGTATAGTGACATCATATAAAACTGAAAGTACCTTGAATGCTTAGATATCTATTTACATACCCTTAAAGAGTTCTTAAAATATTAATTTTAATTCACATTTCATTTTTGACCCTTCTAGAAGAAATGAAGTCATGATGCAAATCTCAATAGTGGAAAAGTACACAATTCCACAGAGGCTGGAAATCACTGCTTTAAGCAGGGTTTGGCAAAATATTTTAGGCTTTGTGAGCCATGTGGCTCTCTGTCACAACCACTCTGCTCTGCCACTGTAGGGCGAAAACAGCCATAGACAATATGTAAATGAATGAGCGTGGCTGTGTTCAGTATTTACAGAACAAGCAGTGGGTTCGAATTCGGCCAGCAGTTTCACTGACCCCTAGTTTAAGGCAATAGTGGTTCATACCATTACTAAATAATATTTGGGCAACTCAGGTTTATACACTAAACAATTAATTGGTAGAAATAGTTTGAAAAACCTGGACTCTAAAATTGAAGGATCCTTCTCAGGGATTTGATGTGGATGAAATTCATTCATGGCCACAGGCTGGTCTACAGTACTGCTGGTCCTCTTTGGGCTTACCTAGTAGGCTATGCCTGGGGGCCTGGTATTGGTGTCCCGATTTCTGAAGCAAAGGAGCCAGGCTATGAAAGAGATAAAATGCTCCTGTCTGCTGGGCTTTTTTACATGCATCATCATCTTCCTTCAGTTCAAATAAATACCTGTATTTTGAAAATAAAGCATTATTAAAACCACAGTTACTTGTACAGCATTCATCTTTCAGAATTTGGTCCTTGCATCCCTCTCCTATCACACTTACTTCCTTTTATTTATATCCTAAACTGCTCTTTCCCCTGAAAGACTAGGATCTCCTTAAGGGCAGGGTCAGCCTTAGTTCTGTATCTCCAGTAATTAGCATATTGAATGGCTCGATTCAATAAATATTTATTGAATTGAACTTCAAGGGTAATAAATATTTACTGAATTGAACCTCAAGGTACTTTGCCAATATTACGCTGTGAGGCAAGAATTTACACGCAGTGGAGTGAAAGGAAAACAAGTACCGTGAGGAAACATCAACCACAGAATATCTAGGGATGGGAGCAGACTTCATTCTTGTAGACAGAGAGCCAACACCACACCTTAACTCTCCTTCAATCTAGAGATGGTAAAGAGCTGTTATCTTCAATGCATTCGTGCTTCCAACACCTAGTCCTCCACATGGACACCATTAGCTCCTTATCTCTACCAGAGACCACTGATGGGAAAGTGAAACCTATACTTGACCTAGGCTTATTTAATAAGTGTAATATCTTCAATAGCCAAAATACAAATGTGGAAAAAGACAACATCCTATCATGAGTTTGTCTAGAAGAAATAGTACTGGATCCAGATCTAGGCTTTTCAAGCACCTTCATTAAAGATTACCTAAGTTTATCCCTTCAAGAGCCTTGGAAATCAGGTCAGGGTCCACATGATTCAGGGGGTACTGAATGTAGATTCTCCTTCTGAAGACTTTGGGATGACCATTTTTGCCTATTAAAAGCCCCAAACAGACTCAGATTTATGGCAGATTTTGTCATGAGGTAGGCAACACAGTTTATAGATATTTCCTGTAGGATCTGGGAGCTTTTGTAACACTAACAAAGTTAGTTCAACATAAAACTACAAAGCAAAATGATAAATGTGCCCCAGTGTTATCTTTAGGAACCTATTTTTGACTATATGATAAAAGGGGTTACAATGAGCTCTTCATAAACACAAGACCAAAGAAACCTGAGATTTTAATACTCATGGTATTTTTAAACTTATTATAAGTGACTCACTTCCTGGGGCAAAGACTTAATGCATGTCAAAGGAGAGACATGTGCCACTCAGAAGTTACCAAATATAAACAATAGAACACCTCTGCCTTCCTAAAAGAACAGTAAGAGAGGTACAACCTGTGCTTTGCCCTAATGACCCTAAAAAGCGAAACACCTACATAAACACCCAGGTCTTAAATCTGGGGCCTCACTGGAACTGGAACTGAGAGCCAAAAAGTTCCTTACATATTCTTTCTCGATCAGGAACACTAATTTGAAAAACTAATTTGCCCCCTTTAGTTATAATAGCATGGAAACAACACTAAGATTATCAGACACAAACTTGTTTTCCTATTTACAAAAATACAAAGTCATCCCATAAAAGTCAGAAAATACAGTTAGCAATTTGTTCAAAAAAGGGAAATCAAGAATCTCACCATTCAGAGATTATCACTGTTTACACCTGGGAATTCTTCAAACTATTTATTGGTATCTGTACATAGGTATATTCAGAGTCATACCTATTAAGTTGTAGCCTTTTTTTTCTTATCATTCTTTTCATGCCATGTTCTTTATTGATAGAATTTCATTCTCTCATGACTTTTTACTCATTTTAAAATCACTTTAACAGGGCGCCTGGGTGGCTCAGATGGTTAAGCATCTGCCTTCAGCTCAGGGCATGATCTCAGGGTCCTGGAATCAAGCCCCACATCAGGCTCCTGGCTCAGCGAGGAGTCTGCTTCTCCCTCTCCTTCTGCCTCTCTCCCCTGCTCATATTCCCTCTCTCTCTCTCTCTCTCTGTCACATGAATAAAAAAAAATTTTAAATCACTTTAACATAGGCATTTTTAGACCATTCAATAACTGTTCAATAATTCAGTTATTGTTCTCAGAGTCTCAGCCTGAGCGCTGCAAATAACCTACAATAATTTAAGTACTGCAATTTTCTTTTCTCACTCTTGTTCATGTAATACTGTATGCTTACGTGCCTTTAAATTCTGGACCGGGCACTCATGTTTGGCAGAGCTTTTCATTTAGGAAGCCCTGGTTATGAGTGTATCTCTTCAGAGGAGTTTTACCTTGCTTCTGCAAGGTGCCCAGGGGTCCTATAAGTCTACGACTACTACTTACATTCTTTTCTTAGGTTGGGGTTTGGGGACCATAACACAGATGGTGCAAATTTAAACCCCAAAACTATGAGAACAGGCTGGTGATTTCAAATTCACAGATTTCAAATTTGCCCAGGCTGTGACAAAGAAGTCCTTTACCATCATCCTGTACTGGCGTAGGTTTTTTTTTTTTCCTGGTCTACCTTTAACTGGTGGTTTAGTTCTTTCTTAGAGGTGAGGGGTGAGGGAATTAGAATTTTCTACCTTTTTTCAGGAAACTTCATGAACTGTTATTATTCAGTATAGTTTTTAATTCCATCATAGGGGTGTACCATCATTTAAATTATTTTAAATTAATTTTAATTAATTTTAAATTAATTAAATTAAATTAAATCTTGTTCATTCATCCATTCAACAATCCTTCAATGCCTACTATGCGCCGGGTATTGTTTTATGCACGAGGGGTACCATGCTGGGAAAGACAAAGTTCTTATCTTAATAGAACTTAATATTTAAGTATGTCAGATATTTTAGGTAATATTGGAAATTTAGTTTATTTAGAATCTTTCCAATTATAAATAATTTGCAATGACTATCCTTATATGTAAATCTTAATCATGTATCCTTAATCCTCAATGTAGGATTTTAAGATATTTATATTTTATAATTTAATGGGCCAAAGAGAGAATAATCAGAGCTCAGGTTGGTCACAACTCACCGGGTCTTAGTGACATAAGTTGACAGCAGCCTAAAGTACCAAAAAGATTTTCTCCTGCAAGCAATTCCACAATACAGGGACATTGTCAGGTCCTTAGAGAAAAGAGGAGTCAAAAAAAAAAGTCATAGTATGCAATTTAAAGTAATGAATCACCAAGAGGGTTATACTTTAAGCCAGGATAGGATTACTTTTTAATATTAAGGAAAGAAACTGAATAGAAGTCAGATGATCTGGCTTCGAAATTGCATTTGTGCCACTAACTAGCTGTGGGATTTCAACTTTTTAGTACCTCTTTTCTAATCTACAAAATGGCAACCTGTTCTGCCTACCTAATAGGTTATTTTGAGACTCTGCTATCTACAAAAAAATATGTTCCTCCTTCCATATTGTAGAATTGTTGCCAGAAGTTAGAGAATAAGCCACAATTTACATTTCTCTCCTTCTATCTAAGCAGTGACAAAAGTAGTTCTTAACAATGGAATGTGAGTGGAAGTGATGTATATCTCTTCTAGGCTGAAGCAGCTAAGAAGTGGGTATGCCTAGGGGGTGCCAAGGTGGCTCAGTTGGTTGAGCATCCAACTCTTGGTCTCATCTCAGGTCCTGATTTCAGGGTGATAGGATCAAGCCCCGCATCGGCTTGGAGTCTGGCTCCACCATCGGCTTGGAGTCTGCTTGAGATTCTCTCTCTCCTTCTCTCTCTGCCCTTCTCCCCATTCACGCATGTGTGCACACACACTCTCTCTCTCTAAAATAAATAAATAAATCTTTAAATAATTTAAAAATGAGGGGCGCCTGGGTGGCTCAATCGTTAAGCAGACGTCTGCCTTTGGCTCAGGTCATGGTCCCAGGGTCCTGAGATCGAGCCCCTCATCGGGCTCCCTGCTCAGTGGGAGGCCTGCTTCTCCCTCTCCCACTCCCCCTGCTTGTGTTCCCTCTCTTGCTGTGTCTCTCTCTGTCAAATAAATTAAAAAAAAAAAAACTTAAAAAAATTTTTTTAAATGAAAAAAAAGAAGTGGGTATGCCTTCATCCTCTTTCCTCCTTCTGCTTGGAAGACTCTGGAATGGCAGAGTATTAGATGAAGAAGCCTGGATCCTTGAATCACAACATGGAGAAAAGCCACCTGCCAACCAAAGGACCCACCCCCCCAACACACACTTTGGACGATTTATGAGTGAGAAATAAACTTCTACCATACTAAGCAACTGAACTTTTGAAGTTTGTTCCAGCAGCTAGCATTACTCTAAGACCAGGTAAGACTGGGAATGTCTCCAGAGTAATGGAGAGTATATGAAAGCCAAAGTTCCTCTAAGAATGAAGTAAGAGGAATCCTATAGATAAGAAAAATACAAAAATCATGGCCATCAAGAAAATATTTCAAAAGGCAGCTATGCAAATCTACATGAATCTAAGATATTTTCTATTTTGTGTATTCCTTTGTGAGAGAAAAAAAATTCTGTATCTTATGAATCCATTCTGCAGGTGATTCCTTTTAAATTGTATATCAGTAAGTATTTTATTCCCCATGAAAAGTACATTTCACATTGGCAATAAAAGTCAAGAAGTTCCACTGAAATGAGAAAATCAGTACAGTTAAATAACCAAAGCAAGCTTTGACACTAAACAAATCACTGAGGAATATCTAAAGTTTAGGCTTACTTCTTAGTTGCATAATTATGAATCACTGATGACTAATCCTTGGACAGTTTTGGCTACAATCTATGTCCTAGCCAAGGGTAAAATATATTTAGCAAAGACATTCAACAAAAAGTGTTTATTGAAAATTGACTTTATGCAAGGTCCTTTAAGGAACACAGAAATGTTCTGATGAAAAACCTACCATCAAGGGACTCTAGTAGGAGAAAGAAAACAAACATAGCTTTCCCAGAAGGGAACATGTGATATGTGGGTTACAAAGCACTCTAGGAGAGTATTAAAAGACTTGTGTGATATACTGGAAGAAATATATTTCTTGTATATGGGTATGTCATATGTATATGTCTCAGGTACAAACTCTGAGAATGTAAATTGGTACAATATTTTTGGGCGGCAATTTCGGAATATCTATTGAAATGTTAAATAAACATGCCTTTCACCTAGCAATTCCACTTCTATGAATTTATCCTAAGAAGGATATGTATAGGAATGTTAACTGAAAGGTATGATAAAGGGGAATAATATACAGCTCTTAAAAATAAATAGAAGAAACATACGAAGAGATATATAAATCAACAAAACGGAATATTCCAATGCTTTTTGTCCGGGGAGATGGTGTTGTACTAGTTGCCCCTCCTTTAAGAGTTGGCTGAAACAAAGAATTTATCATGTATGGAATATAGGAGCTTTTGTATGATTGCCTCTTTAAATGTAGAAGACATTCAAAAGAGAAACCTGCGTAAATTTTGATATTAAGAAATGACCAAGGATTCTTCCACTCCTGAAACGAGTTGATTTGCGGATAACTAAAAAATTCTTAAGCTAAAGGGCATTTTAATTTTTTTCCAACCCTTTCAATAAATGTGATCACCAAGATGCAGAACTCTTTTTTTCAGGAATTGATTTGTTCTGTTGTTTTCTCAATTTCTGATTTTTTTCCTTTAAATTAAATTTGATGTTTCCTTTTTTGATTAAAAAATAAATAAACAAATAAATAGAAGAGTGCCTGGGTGGCTCAGTTAAGCATCTGACTCTTGGTTTTGGCTCAGGTCATGGTCTCAGGGTCCTAGGATCGAGCCCCACATCAGGCTCTGCGCTCATCAAGGAGTCTGCTTGGGATTCTCTCTTACCCTCTCTCTCGGCCCCTCTTCCCTACTCTCTCTCTCAAATAAATAAAATCTTTAAAATAAATAAATAAATGGGCACCTGGGTGGCTCAGTTGGTTGGGCGACTGCCTTTGGCTCAGGTCATGATCCTGGAGTCCTGGGATCGAGTCCCGCATCGGGCTCCCTGCTCGGCGGGGAGTCTGCTTCTCCCTCTGACCCTCCTACTTCTCATGCTCTCTGTCTCTCATTCTTTCTCTCTCAAATAAATAAATAAAATCTTAAAAAAGTAATAATAAATAAATAAATAAATACAAGATAACAGTGGAAACATTCATATATAGTAACAGGGAAAGATATTCACAATATATGTTTAAGTAAGAAAAGCAATTATTTGGTTGGTTTACCATGATCTAATTAATTTATAAAGGAAAGGACATAGGGGAGCCTGGGTGGCTTAGTGGGTTAAGCATCCAACTCTTGATTTCAGCTCAGGTCATGATCTTAGGGTTGTGAGATCGAGTCCTGCGTTGGTCTCTGTACTGGGTGTGGAGTCTGCTTAAGACTCTCTCTCTCCCTCTCCCTCTGTCCCTGCCTGTCCCCGCTTCTCTCCCTCTCTAAAAAAAGAAAAGAAAAAGAAAAGGACATATACATATCAATAAACATAAATTAGATATGTATCTATTTGTATTTTTAAAGTGACTATAAGTACACATACCATATCATCAATAGGAGTACCTCAGCACATTCCCAGGGAGCCAAAAGGAATTCTTTTGGTGAGTTCCTTGAATCCTGAGAGCCAAGAGCTGTTTGGTTGAGCTATAACTACCAACTAATCTGTGTGGCCCACTGTTTTTGGCTGCCTGATGCTTTGCCTAGTTTCTGTTACGAAATTAACCTTAGCCAGTTGTGGATTATCATGGTCTGCTGACTCATGGGATGGTCACAGAGCTTATAAAAAACAAAGTCAAGTTCTTAATGTAACTTTGAAAAAATATTAACAATCAAGAGGAAAACCAGACTTATTTCAACTGAGAACTGCACCTTCATTGGTATAGTCATAAACCTAGTAGATAAAAATTAAGTCTAATTCCTTTTCTAAATGGTCCCTTGAATATTTTTTATACACATCTTATATAAAAACAGTATAGAGATTATTGAAAAGTCAAAGAAGAGAAAACGATTTCCTTAAAAATCAGCTTTAACTATATTTTTCTCTTCTAAATAGATCGTTAAAATTATAAAATTAACATAATTACATTACAGGACATCTAGAAAAGAGAATTGTGAGGGTGTCCATAATATGGCCACATAAATATAACATGTATTTTCTAATCTTTTTACACATACAACTTCTACATATTTGTAATCAGAGGACACATTTTTGTCAACTTGCTTCCATGAAACACATCACAAGCAGTTTTCCATGTTTTTGTATAAGCTATATAATTTTTTTTAGCTGCAAAATACTACATTCAGGTAGACTCATCCTTATTTTGCTAAACATTCCCGATTTTAGACATTTAGGTTGCTCTGATTTTAAATTACCAGAAATAAGATACCACTAAATACCTGTGTGCTGATATTTTCAGGTTACTTTTTAAGTTTCCCGAAGTAGAATTACTGGGATAAAATTTAGTTTAAAATCATATGGCTCTTTCTACACATTGCCACACTTACAAGATTCAGTAGTGTCTGGTTTAAAAAAAAAAGAACTTTCATTTTATATTTTTTTGATAACTACCAAGATTGAAAGTGTTTTGAGATTTAATAGTTCTAGTTCCCCTTTTGCAAACTGTTTGATGTCCTGTGCTCATTTATTTACTGTGGTTTTGACCATTCTAGATTTTAGAATATTATAGTACATTTCCAGCATTTTCCATAATATCATAGAACACATTATAGGAACCAACCTCTATATGTGTTGTTTTCTTTGTGTACCTCAGTACAAAAAAAAAAAGTCTTTTAACAATGAGGATATGTGAAATTACTTTTAGAATGAAAATATAATTTCTTATAACTCCATTACTATTTAGAAATCTAATGCAGGGAAAATTTGTTACTTATTTCTAAATAGTTTGTGATTTTTTACTCTTTTAGGGGTCTTCAGTGCAATGTTTTATTCAAAGTGTATTGGCTCAAGGGCTTACCTTTAGTAAACATGCTGCAGAACAACTGGTAAACCTGCCATGATACTCAAATCCACATTACAAACAGAATTGTTTTTGTTTGGATTGACAAGTATTATGGTATTTTATTCCTGGCGGCATTCTGGGGATAAAAGTTCACTATTCACGAAATAAGTTTTGGAGAAAATACAGCACCGTTATTTTACGTTAGATGACAAGCCCAGGGCTGCCTTCTGTTTTGTTTACAATGTCTGTGCGTATCTCCAAACCGAGGAAGGAACAGGCAAGTAAGCACTGAAGAGACTCCGGACTTTTATTCTGGGCTCTCCCACTGACTGAATTTGTGATCTATAGCTGTCACCTAACTCGTAGGAGCTTGGTTTCTGTCTCACTTCTCACAGGGGAAGGAAGGAGAGAAAATGGATCTAAAGTGTATTACAACCATGTCAGGTTTCCACACACCCAATTCTCAGATCTGTTAGACTGTACAATCCTCAAGGGTTGGGATTGTATCTTCCCCTATCTATAGCACCTAGCATTGTCTCTATCACAATGTAAAACACAATATAGATAGATGAATGAATGAATGAATGAATGAATTTATCCCATTTTACAAGTGAGGAAGATAAAGCTTTAACTAATCTGAAATCACAATTTAGATAGCAGCAGTTTCAAACCCAGGGCTATCTGGCTCCAAAACTCATGTGTTGATGAGAAATATATGGGAAAGCATTTTTCAACATTCATTTATGATTATTTTAAAAGTACAAGGACTGATAGAGATGAAAGATACTATTATTTTTACTGAAAACTATTCAATGAAGAGGCAAGGCTGTTAAGATTAACAATTCTCTCAAACACCTGTAATAAGTGATTCCCACATTTCTCATCCTGTTCATTTTAACAGAAGAAAGATTACTTTGTAAAATACTACAGCATGAAGAAAAGGCCCATCTCGAATCTCTGTGGTTATTTCTACCAAGAAGTTTGGAAGAAGTTTGATAGTGTTTGAGAGAGCCCTTTTCAGTTCCCTCTATTCGTTACTGTGCACCTCAATGGAATGAGGAAATACGCAACACTGAGGAGCCATGCGATACAGATTTCAAGGTCCCACTAAGTAGCTTTATGGTTTGCTTTCTAAAAAATGTTTCCTCCCTTAATTCAAAAATAATGCAGGCACAATGCAAAAAAAGTAAGCAAATTCTATTTTTAAATAACTCTCCAAGAAAGTTCCAGAAAAATATTAGCTTTAGTTAAAAGGATAGTTCCTTAAGTTATGATGCAAAACTGTGGCCATTCCCTGGTTTCTGCAAGAAGGAAAAGACTAAGCTAAAATCACAAAATGCTGTGACCAAGAGCTTTTTTCAAGTTTTGATTATGCCTTCCCATAAAATCCCTCCTGGGCTTAGAACCTCAACAGTTTTCTGTTCCTCTGTACTCACTCTGAATTCTGTTGGGGGAGGGTGTCTTCCTAGGCCTCAAGAATCAGCAGAAAGCAGGGAACTCCTAACCTTCCTGGGAAGTAGGGCTTCCCTTCCCCAGAGGGACTATTGTGGCCTCTGCCACACTTCCCAGAATCCCCTAGAGATGCACTCTGGGAATTGTAGTTCTCTTTTCATGCTGGCTGTTAAGTCGTCCAAAGTTAACCATGGTTGCAGGCACGCTTTTGCCACACTTCCCAGAATTCACCTAGAGATGCACTCTGGGAATTGTAGTTTAATCCAGAGGCATGCTGCTATCCACTCCAACAGCAAAGTTAACCGTGAGTGTCAAAAAGCATGATCTAAGATCTTCTAAATCCATTACCAGAAAAACTACCGACCTTGTCTTTGAAGAAGCAGTAGATTCACTTTTGAATAACAAAAAGGTAGTCATTAAACCCATCCTAGTACACAGAAGGCATATTTTGTGGGGGAGGAAAAGAGTGTTGGGGCAGGAACTCAGATAACTCTCACCCTTTCTGTCTCTGTATGCCCACTTTAGAACTAGTTCTAACATTTCATGAAATTCTGCCAATTTAAAAAGACCCGACTGTGTCTAAATGTGTATGAGCTTATGTTAGAATGCATCCCTTGGATGAATGGATAAAGAAGATGTGGTATATATACACAATGGAATATTATGCAGCCATCAAAAGGAATGAGATCTTGCCATTTGCAACGACGTGGATGGAACTGGAGGGTGTTATGCTGAATGAAATAAGTCAATCAGAGAAAGACATGTATCACATGACCTCACTGATATGAGGAATTCTTAATCTCAGGAAAGAAACTGAGTGTTACTGGAGTGGTTGGGGGTGGGAGGGATGGGGTGGCTGGGTGATAGACATTGGGGAGGGTATGTGCTACGGTGAGCGCTGTGAATTGTGCAAGACTGTTGAATCACAGATCTGTACTTCTGAAACAAATAACGCAACATATTTTAAGAAAAAAGAAAAAGAAGTAGATAACAGGAGAGGAAGAAAAGGGAAGTATGTCAGAGGGGGAGACGAACCATGAGAGATGATGGACTCTGAAAAACAAACTGAGGGTTCTAGAGGGGAGGGGGGTAGGGGGATGGGTTAGCCTGGTGATGGGTATTGAGGAGGGCACGTTCTGCATGGAGCACTGGGTGTTATGAACAAACAATGAATCATGGAACACTGCACCAAAAACTAATGATGTAATATATGGTGATTAACATAACAATAAAAAATTAAAAAAAAAAAAAAGAATGCATCCCTTGATCAACCGTGGCAGGATTCCTTAGGACTGAAAGCAGTCTAGCAAAACTACTTTGGTTCTGCTCTTTTCTTACTTTATAGGAGAAGACAGTTTTGAAGCACATTCATTCAACGTGTATTTAATGAATACTAAATGTACCTGGGACTGTTAATAGGCACCAGATACAGCAGAGAGAGCGTGAACGCTCACACATGTGCGGGGGGTGGGGGGGGGCAAAAGGAGAGGGAGAGAGAAAAGCTCAAGCAGACTCGGGGTTGAGTGCAGAACCCCACGCAGGGCTCAATCGCATATCCCCAAGATCATGATCTGAGTTAAAACCGAGTCAGATGCTTAACCAGCTGGCCACCCAGGCACCCCAAAAGTAACAATGTATTTGAAGATATGTGTTTATTAATTCATTGAACAGATATTTATTTATTTTTAAAGATTTTATTTATTTGTGAGAGAGAAAGAGAGAGACAGCATGACCACAGGCACGGGGAGAGGCAGGCAGAGGGAGAAGCAGAAGCCCAATATAGGGCTCCATTCCAGGACCCTGGGGTCATGACCTGAGCTGCAGGCAGATGCTTAATTGACTGAGCCACCCGGACGCCCCTGAACAGATATTTATGGAACATCTGTCATATGCCAGGCATCATGCTAGAATTGAGGTTACAATGGTGAATAACATACTGCCTCTGCCATCAGAAATTAATTATGCATGTATATGTGCGTATAATGTGTGTGTGTGTGAGAGAGAGAGAGAGAGTGAGTTAACATGCAAGCATATGAGACAACAGCTCATTTACTCAGTCTTTGGCCACTTACGGGAATGGACATAGGATGTAGGGTGTACCTGAGCAAACTTGGAGAGAAATTACAACTTCATTCTGCTGGCAGGTTTATGGTTGGATTGTGTCTCATTACATGTGGGACAAGAAAAAGATCTAAGCAAATGGGTGGGAAGGGGTTTACGTGAGGGTCCCTTAAATAATAAGCCCCTTTCAAAGAGCCCTATCTGCATAGCCAGTGGTGCCATAAACACTGGGAGGTCTTTACTCTACTCTTCGGGAGCAAAGTACAATAGGTTTCCTTCTCCTCTACCTTCCCAAATATGGAATGATGCTTAACACATAGCAATGAATGGAACCAAGACCATACTCAGCTGGAATACAAGATAAAACAGAACAATTATGGTATACCAAGTTAAAAATTAATTTGAATACATGATTTTGTTAGCATAATGCAGTCACTAGACTGGGTTTCAATTTCCTGTTAATTGAACTCTTACTCTCTTTGCTTTTGCTCCCCAACCCCCCTTTTTTTAAACTTTTTTTTTTTTTTTAATTCATGAGAGACAGAGAGAGAGAGAGAGGCAGAGGGAGAAGCAGGCTCCCTAGGAGCAGGGAGCCCGATGCGGGACTCGATCCCAGGACCCTGGGATCATGACCTGAGCCGAAGGCAGACGCTTAACCATCTGAGCCACCCAGGCGCCCTCAACCCCCTTTTTTAAATGACTGTGAACCATTTCACTAGCAGTCTAGTAGTCACTAGCGGCTCCATCAGAAAATTGGCAGAAATTAATAAAAAATTACCGGTTTCATTATCAGTTGAAAGATCTGGGAAAGGCTTTCTTTCTTTCTTTCTTTCTTTTTTAAAGATTTTATTTATTTATTTGACAGAGAGAGTGAGAGAGCACAAGCAGGGGGAACAGTAGAGGGAGAGGGAGAAGCAGGCTCCCCACCAAGCAGGGAGCCTGATATGGGGCTTGATCCCAGGATCCTGAGATCATGACCTGAGCTGAAGGCAGACGCTTAACCATCTGAGCCACCCAGGCACCCCTGGCAAAGGCTTTCAATAATGAGTTATGACTATAGTTAAATAACTTTCACTTCTCTAGTGTCTTGTATAGTTTCACCTTTACCCCAATATCTAAAGAGGTTCTGAGTATCAGAAAAAGTGTGTATTGTGTGCCATTATATTCCCAAAGCAAATGTAATTTTTTGTTACTTAATCTGGTGATTATTTTACTTCTTTAAGCCTCAGTTGGAGATATCCCTAAATCTCTAATATTTTATAACAAAAGTATTATCCAGATATATGATCATTATGTTTTCGATGTTGGATGAAAAGAATTTAGAGATTTCCCCCTGATTTACATTTTCCATACTCTCTTTATTCCTACATTACAATGGAAGCTTGGGAGATAGCTGTTATCAATTATCTATTAAAACAATAATGCTTCATAACAAACAAGCACAAAATCACAGAAGCTTACAAGTGTTTATTACCCACACACCTGGAGTGGTTGGCTAGGTGATTCTGCTGATCTTAGTTAAGCTCATTTATATGCCTAGGGGTGGTACACTGTTAGATAATCTAAAATGGTCTTGGCTAGGACAGTGGGGGTGCTCCATGTGTCTCTCATTTGCTAGCAAGCTAGCATGGGCACATTCTTTTGATGATGATGGCAGATGGTAAAAGCACACATGGAAATATGCAAGTCCCCACAAGAGATGACGCTCACTTTGATACCAACTACAAATTTCAAGGCTTCCCAAAACCATTCTCAGTTTTGATAGGACTCACAGAACTTACTGAAAGCTATTACACTCATGATTATGGCTTATTAGAGGGAAAGGATACAGACTAAAATCAGCCAAGGGGAGAAGCACATTAGGTGGAATCTGGAGAAGTACCAAAAGTGGAGCTCCCATTGTTCTCTACCCACACACTTGGGATGCATTACTTTTCTAGCATCAATGAGGGACAGTACATACAGGATGTTGCTGACCAGGGAAACTCACTTGAGCGTTGGAGTCCAGAGTTTCTACTGGGGCTCCATCATCCAAAGCTCCAACTGTAAATCACATTGTTGGGCTTTCTGGTATGGAGAATCCCTATTCTAAGGCTATTGGGTATGGCCAATCCCCACCCTAACTCACATTGTTAGATTATTCAGTGGGCTCCAAGACCCCCAGGCAAACAAAGATAACTCCTATCAGGCGTGAGGTTTACCTCCCAAAAACCAAGGGGAAAAGCCAGACCTCATTTTGGGCAAGGTAAATTTTTTAAAGACATAAGCGTGAATACAGGAAGTAGGGAAGAATTAAGACTATTAGTGCAACCAACCTAACACAGTAGCTCTATTAAAAGTATTCCTTAAATTGGTATAGGATATCAAACAGTGTTCTTTAACTTTAGGATTGACTTAAGAACTAACATTAACCATAGACTAATTACAAATGCTATAAATAAGCATCCTTCTCTTTACCCCTTGTACACATTAAGATTAGAAATAATCACTCTTTGGTGCCTGGGTGGCTCAGTCATTAGGCGTCTGCCTTCGGCTCAGGTCATGGCCCCAGGGTCCTGGGATCAAGCCTCACATTGGGCTCCCCGCTCAGCTGGAAGCCTGCTTCTCCATCTCTTACTCCCTCTGCTTTTGTTCCCTCTCTCGCTGTGTCTCTGTCAAATAAATAAAATCTTAAAAAAAAAAAAAGAACTAATCACTCTGTTTCATAATTTTTGTGAAAGTCATTGAAACAGATCTAAACTCACCAACTTCGGCTCTATGATTAAAAACAACAAAACAGGGGCACCTGGGTGGCTCAGTCGTTAAGCGTCTGCCTTCGGCTCAGGTCATGATCCCAGGGTCCTGGGATTGAGGCCCGCATCAGGCTCCCTGCTCAGCGGGAAGCCTACTTCTCCCTCTCCCACTCCCCCTCCCACTCCCCCTGCTTGTGTTCCCTCCCTCTCTGTCTCTCTCTCTCTGTAAAATAAATAAATAAAATCTTTAAAAAACAACAACAAAACAAAACCTCACACATTCTATACTATACAGCATCCAATGATGAT